CTGGGGCTCGCCTTCCAAGGGAGGGAATCTTTTTTCCAGTGCAAGCATCGGTCGGCAGCCAGATTGTGAAGAGAGTCGGAAACTGCACCCTTCTTCGGCCTCCAGCTTCCTTGAAAGGCGCTTTCCAGGGTTTTGTTTTCCTCGGGGTTTCCGGGGGAAGCTAAAGGGGCGAGCGCCCTTGTGTGATGAACTCGAGACCAGAACATTGCACGTCCGACGTGTGAGCAGTAACGCAGCTTGGAGGGGAGGGTGTAAACAGGTTTGGTCAGGTTCAAAGCCGGATTACACCAACACCGTGTTTGGAGAATGTTTCAGAGCCAGACGCTGCTGTGGCTGCGAGCAAGTTGCGCCGGAAGTTTTTTGGCTCCTGCAAGGCACTTGGCGGCTGTGTGAGGGTTTGCGGAATGGAGGGAGAACTGCCTGTAGAAGGCGATGTCGCGAGAAGGGCCGAAGCAAGGCCTTCGCAGCCGGCTGCGCAGGAGCGGTCGTGTAACCCGGTTGTGGGAGTTATAAGAACTAAGTGGGTTCTGAAGCCGACAATGGGTGTCAGTTTACCGCCCCTACTGTTGCTACTTGCACATGGTCCCGTGCAGTGACTGTATACTGTCCATACAGCAAGGCTCAAGCCCGGCGCCCCCTTTCCTACTGTGCATGCCAGGTGGGACGAAGCAACCCTGAAGCTACAGCAACTCAAGCAAAAAGACCTGGCCTGCGCCGCAAAGTCTGCCGCTGTTACGCCGCAGAGAGGGGCCGGTTGCAGGATGCATCCTGCGACTGCAGACAAGAGTGGCCAGTTGCAGGACCGCGAGCTGAGGAAGGCCCTGAAAGCTGCTTTGCAAGCTCGATGGCGTCAGCGAAAGCGGGAAGAGAATCACCAGTTGAGTCCACTCCAGCGGTTGATAGCTATTTGCATCTTCATGTTGGCGGATTGGAGAAGCCAGCCTGCAGTCCTGTTTGCGAGACGGGTGTTGCGCAAGAGGGGACTCTTGCCGGTGACGCCGTTACTTCCGATGCCATGACAGCTGCCCTCGAAACCATGGTGTTGGCTTCGGACACCGACCTCTTAGCGCAGTTAATGATGCCTAGGAGCAAGAAGCATTTGCAGATTCATCAGAAAGCTGTGCATTTTTTGGTGGAATACCGTCTCCGACAGTGGATATGCGAGCAAAATCTGATGGCCCGGCTTCCGCCGTCCATATCCGAGGCGGCAGAGATGTATGTGACCTTATGCTTTCACTTATGCCCCGATCACCCGCGCGCCGCACGCATGCAGAGGGCGCTGGAAGATGGCGCCGTGCAGCACTCGGCTGGTCGCTACTTCCGGCGGTGGGCGAAGAAGTTCCAGTACGAATGGGGCTTCAAGCTCGGGCAGCTGCGGCCGGCGTCGCACCTCTCGTCCGAGGACATCAAGCAGAAGGCTCCGGCTTCGGTGTCCCAAGCTCCTGCAACAGTGTCCTTGTCATGCATCCTGTCGACCCCGTGTGATCCAAACCCGAGGCCACATTTGGCTTCAAAAAAACAGTCAATCTGCCTTTCCTGGCGCAAGCCCGAGCCCAAATTTAGACTCGTAAATTGTTCCCATATTTGGCTTCGTTCGCTTCCCTTTTTGGTTGGCAGGTGCAGCTGTGTTGGCAAAGGTGCCGGCACTTGACAGGCACGACGCAGAAGCGTGTGGTTTTGATCAATATGGACGAGACAAGTTTACAGTATACCCGGCCCTCTTTCACTGGGTTGGTACATGAAGGTCTGCAGCGACGTGGTGTTTCTGGACACGCAAAGAAGGACGTTCGCCGAGGATGCTGCACGTTGCTGGCTTGCGTGTGCAGCGACGCATCGTTGCAGGCTGCAATGCCACAGTACATCCTGTCGAATGGTAGATACCTGACAAAGAAAGCTTTGCGAAGTGCCCGTGCAAACATGCCGGCTAATTTTCATGTGGAATTTGCAAAGACAGCCTGGAATTCAGGAGCCCGAATGGTGGAAGTTCTTCGAGTGTTAAAGGCCTGCGTTCCGGTCGACGTCGAACCAATATTACTCTTGGATTGCGCTCCCTGCCACCTCGATGGCAAGGTGCTGGCTGAGGCGAAATGTTTAGGCATTGGCATATGCCCCATACCCCCGCATCTGACGTGGCTGGTACAGCCAGCCGATGTTCACCTCTTTTCAGGCTTGAAACAACATTTCCGGCGCTGTTACAGACGTCGCCTCCTGCAAGATGGACAGATGACCGCTTCTGCTTTCCTGGAAATGCTTTCAACAGAATGTCAGCATTATCTGTGCAGCAGGACATGGAGAGGTGCTTTCGAACAGCTAGGTTTCTGCGGAGATGCAGTTCTCACGAAACATCTCCAAGCTCTGTTTCCACATGGGCTGCCCGTCCTGGCACAAGCCCCGCTTACAGCGGAAGAGCTACGGCAGCTGTTGCCTAAAGGGCACACCCTTCGTGCGGGACTTTGGTCAAGACGCGTGCTTGCTCTGTAAATGCAGGTTGCCTCATGTCTTCTGCAAGCTGCTCGCGTGCCACACAGCATGGGTCGTGTTGGTGGTAGTTTCTTCCTGGCCTTTTATGCGATGCAGGACTTGGACACCAGAATCAATGAGTTGCGGGAGGCACGACGCGCTCTGAAGCGTGACGCAGCTGCCGCAGCCAAAGAGCTCAAATCGATGCGCCAGAAACGGGCCAGGCCGGAACAAACTTGGAGTGTCTGGGGGTTGTGGTTATACATATGGGCTTCTTCTGCGCCAGGTTAGTCGCACATGCCAAGAAGCTGTCGCAAGAAGACCTGAGCAGAATCTTGGCATTGAAAGCCGCTGCAAGTGTTGGTCCGAATCCAGCGCCTGGAGCGTAGGAAGTGCTACTGTGTGATGTGTAGCAGCCGCTGTTGTTTGCAGTGTTCTCTGTTCTTGCAGCCCGTGCTGTGTACAGGTAAGTCGCTCCAGTTGCAGCTGCTAGTCGAGTCTTCTGTAGCCCGTGCTTCTGTGTCTCGGGGCATCGCTGCAACCGTCGTCTTTCATGACGTAGCTGCATGTCTGGCGTTTTGCAGCCCGTGCTGCAGTGTACAGTGTACCGGTGCACCGGTGCAAGCCTTTTAAGGTTCAGTTGTGGTGCTCAATTTACGACACCAGGTTTGAAGCCGCGCCAGATACTTTGGAAGCTGGTGCTTTGGAGGCTGCGCCAGCAGCGCTGCACAGCATACGCCTGGAGCGTCGACTGTTTAACTTTGTGAGGCGCAGCTGCGTGATCGTCTTTGGCAGCCTGTGCCGCGTTCAGATCTTACACTGCAGCTGTATCACAAGCACCAGCCCCAACGTGAGGCTTGAAGATGCTTAAAGAAGCTGACGAGTCCGCAATCATGATTAGCGTGGGCCTAGGACCCTAGGACGACGAAAGCGTTTGTGAAGTTTTGTGACGTTTAAGAGGGCTGTGGGAGTTATGGGGGCGTGGAAAGTTGGACAGATCTTTTACCGCAACCTGATCCCAAAACCCCGAAGAGCCAAAGGAGGAGGGACAACGGGGGGGGCAGGTTGGGGGGGCAGGCTGGGGGGGCAGGCTTGGGGGGGGGAAAGGCGGCAGAAGAAGAAGACAGTTTTTGCGCTTGCGGACGAAACCATTCCACAATTCCACCGAAGTTTAACAACAATTCCTTTGTAGGTCTGTGATGCCGGCAATCTGGGATTTCTTGGCGAGATCCGTGGGCAGCAGGTGAAGTTCAAGCTTTTTTTTGCTTCAGGCTTCGGCTCAAGTTAGAATCAAAAACGCTGTGGCAGATGTGATCGGACACCTGCCTCCTCTGGGGCGCCTGCGAGCGAAGAAGGCCTGGGGTTCAGGATGGTTGAGCGTTTTCGCTAAGGAAAACTAGCTCCTAAAGTCCTTGAAAGCGCATTCCAGGGATACGATTGCACCTTGAGCATTGTCCCTCCGGAAAATCACGAAGATGGCTGCTAAAGTCCTTGAAGTCGTGCACGGTGCAGTGAATTTCTAGGCTTACGATCTTGCTTGGAGCGTTTTCCCTCAGGAAAACCACGAAAATGGTTCCTGAAGTCCTTGAAAATCGTGCGCTGCGCAGGGAATGTCCAGGGTTACGATTTTGCTTTGCGCGTTTTACCTTGGAAAAGTCACCGAAAATGGCTCTTGAAGGCCTCGAAATCGTGCACTGCGCAGGGAAATTCCAGGGTTACGATTTTGTTTTGTGCGTTTTACAGTAGGAACGGCGCCAAAAACACAAAATCGTAACCCTGGGTGTTCTCTAAAAAAAACGAAAAAGACTCTTTTTTTTGACAACGTCCAGGGTTACGATTTTGTGTTTTTTGGCGCCGTTCCTACTGTAAAACGCACAAAACAAAATCGTAACCCTGGAAATTCCCTGCGCAGCGCACGATTTCAAGGCCTGCGAGGTAGTAGTGACAGCACACAAAATGTGGCCAGCTTGGTGCGTGTGGCCGCATTCCGGTACAGTTGCCTGCCTGAGCCTTCCCGTGTGCCCGGTACAGTTGCCCCCCTGAGCCTTCCCGGCCTGCTTATTGCGAGCCTCCTTGGCCTGCTTAATTACTGCGTCTGGCCATATTCCGGCACAATTCCCCGCCTGAGCCCTCCTGGCCTGTTTATTGCACGTGGCCACAATCCGGCACAGTTGCCCGCCTCAGCCTCCCTGGCCTGCTTAGCGTCCTGCATCTCGTACTGCTGTCTGCCTCAACGCTGTCCTGCCTTCTGTCCTGAGAATCGCGTCGCATGATGTGCGCCGCCGCTTTGTCCTTAAAAGCTAACAACCCCACTTGTCCGGTGGGGAACATGAGTGGGATCTGGGCGGAAGCACCATTTCGAGTACTGAAAATGCACGGACTTCGATGCAAGTCATGTTTCGGAGCCCCCAAAAACTTTGCACCGTGCGCGACTTGGCCAAAGCACACCTGTGAACCGCAGACGCTTCGTTTGGTTGACGAATGTTTTCTGTCTTGTCCTCCATGCCCATGAAAGGACTGCCTGTCAGCCGCATCATCACATGCTTGCCCGCGTCCCAAGCACACGTGCCCGGATTGTTTGTTCTTGCGCAAAGAGACGAGTCTCGAGGTCCCGTGTGGCTTTTGCCCGTTTTGCTGCCATGCCCGCCAGCTCCTCCCGCTCCTCCAGCTCAAGCTCCTCCAGCAGCGTAAGCAGCCACCGCGATAAAGTTCCAGAGTGCAAGCTGGTGCAATGTTCGGCTTCGGAGACGGAGAGTTCCATGAATGAGCCGGCTCCTGCAAAGAAGCGTGCCTATGCAGGTATGCTGACGTGGCCTTGTCCACGAGCATACATGGAAACGTGCGACCGCCGCCAGCAGGAGAAGTGCTTGAAGCCCAGTGACCTCAGCAAGAAGGCCTTCCTTCAGGTGTTTCTTGACGTGTGTCAGGCTCGTGGTTCACGCCACACGATTCAAAAGATCATTGTGGTAGAAGAGCCTCACAAACGCTATGAACCTGGGTCCGACAAGCGTGAGCGTCACCAACACCTAGCATTCCTGTGCAATGCACATTTTGTGCATTGCAGTGTCCGCAAGGACTTGGCGACAAAACATGGGATACATGCGTTTTTCACCTTCAATCGCAGTGGTTTTGCTGCATATGTCAGCTACCTCTTGACTGAAGGCCCACGCAAACCAGGTCAAGATCTAGATGGAGATGCTCTCTTTTGGCCACGCTCTTTTACTCGCGAGAAAGCCATGGCCTTGACTGTCGCTCGCCCGCAAGATGCCGCACAGAAAAAGAACAAAGGGAAGGTAACGCCAGCTCCTGCGGCTGAAAAACGTCGCACACGTCTCAGCTTCTCTGAGTTCACGGATTTTGTGGTGGAACGCAACATTCAGACGGTCTCTCGGTTGTGGCAGGCTGCCAAAACAGAAAAGCTGCAAGGTAACGTCCTGGTTTGGAATCACGTTGGCAGCCTTCCGAATGCAGAGAAGGAGTTGCACAAGGTGCTTGCAGCGTGGCAGCCTGCGTCCCAAAGCTCAACTTTGTTTACCCAATCTCGGTATGCCGTCTCAGCGTTTTCCATCCCTGACGGTATGAAGGAATGGTTGAAGCACGAGACCAAAACAAAGGCCTTGGTGGTGCAAGGCGATGGAGGGTTGGGCAAAACGGAGATGGTCATGGCATGCTTGGTGGAGTTGTGCAGCGCAGTGCATTTCCTGAACAAGATGGATGCCTTGAAGAAAGTGCGGTTGCTTCCGCACCAGGCTGTTGTTCTGGATGACATCAGCATGGCCCGTCTTGAGATAGACGATGTGAAGGCATGGTTTGATTTGGAGAAACCGCGGGATTGCGCTGGGCGTCATGAGGATGGATTTCTCCCGGAGGGTGTGGTGAGAGTTTTTACGACCAACCACAAACCAGGCCAGTTCTTCCCCGTTGAGTATTTCCAGGACGATGCGCATCGCATTGCCGTCGACCGCCGGCATCGCTGGCTCCATGTTGTGGAAGATCTCCGTAGGGTCGACGCTGCCCCCAGCGGCCCAAGCGCAAGCGCCCCTGTCGAGCCTGACATCCCCTCGCTGCCTCTTGCAGAGTTTCCCGAGGACGACGATGCTGGCTTGCGCGATTTCTTCGTCTAGCACGTCGCCAGTCCACCAAGCGCCAGCCTAGTCAGCATCGATGCGAAATTCGTAATTGGCTGGACCTGCCCTTGCAAGGCTTGAGCAAACGCGCAGCAAAGAACAGCTAGAAGTGCTTGCAGCTATGTCTTGGTAGGTTTTGGGCACCAAAAGCAGCCGGCCTGTATCCCCCGGGGTTAGGATGGCCCAGGATGCAACAAAAGTAGCCGGCCTGTATCGCGTTTAGGATGGCCCAAGATGCAGCAAACGTCATTGCATTTTGGCTCGGGTTTGGGCTCCGCTGTATAAACAGCTTACGTAGCGTTGCGTCCTGGCTCGGTTTTTGGATTCTGCTGTAAGGGGTCTTCTACGGCTGGGTCTTGACCTAGTGGTAACTCGTAGTCACTCGCACGAGCGGCAGTCGGACTTGCAGCAGTGTTGTGCAAATCTGCTGCTCTTGTCGGCGCGCTGAATTTCTCAGATGTTGGGTTTATGTTTCTCAGATTTTGTTTTTCGGCTCTGACGTGCGTTCGCACTTGTGCTGTTCTCCCATGTTTTCTTGACATTTCGGAAATCCGCCCCAGTCTTCGTGCTCATTTTTGGTGATCTTCGGAGATTGCGGCTCTTGATGCTGCGACAGTAACGAGGTTAGTGCGAAAGGAACATTTCCTTCAGATACTTGGTTCATGTGACTCATGTGGCCAGCTGGAAAGGTCATACCACGAAGCCATCATGTGTTGGACTGCGACTGAACGCCTCTCAGTGTTCAGGGCTTTTCGGTGCTTCGGAGTGGGTGGGAGGGCGGAGGCAGGAGGGGGCTGGACTGTGTGCGCGTGTTCAGGGTTTTTCGGTGTTTCGGAGAGGGCGGGAGGGCGTAGGTAGGAGGCTGGACTGTGTGCGCTTTTTGTTCCCTGGATGTCGGTTCTTCCTATCACCCGCCAATAGGGAACGTGAGCTTCGTGAGACAGGTTAGTTTGCCCGAATGATGAACTGGATGCTGCGACAGTAAGGTCATGCGACGAAGCCATCATCTGTTGGACTGCGACTGAACGCCGCTCAGTGTTCAGGGCTTTTCGGTGCTTCGGAGGGGGTGGGAGGGCGTAGGCAGGGGGCTGGACTGTGTGCACGTGTTCAGGGTTTTTCGGTGATGCTGCGACAGTAAGGTCATACCACGAAGCCATCATCTGTTGGACTGCGACTGAACGCCGCTCAGTGTTCAGGGCTTTTCGGTGCTTCGGAGGGGTGGGAGGGCGTAGGCAGAGGGCTGGACTGTGTGCACGTGTTCAGGGTTTTTCGGTGTTTCGGAGGGGGTGGGAGGGCGTAGGTAGGGGGCTGGACTGTGTGCGCTTTTTGATCCTTGGATGTCGGCTCTTCCTATCATTAAGACGCAGAAGTCCCAAAGTGAACGTGAGCTTCGTGAGACAGGTTAGTTTGCCCGAATGATGAACTGGATGCTGCGACAGTAAGGTCATGCGACGAAGCCATCATCTGTTGGACTGCGACTGAACGCCGCTCAGTGTTCAGGGCTTTTCGGTGCTTGGGAGGGGGTGGGAGGGCGTAGGGACTGTGTGCACGTGTTCAGGGTTTTTCGGTGTTTCGGAGAGGGCGGGAGTTCCTATCATTGAGACGCAGAAGTCCCGAAGTGTCGGATTGTTCACGCGCCAATAGGGAACATGAGCCTCGTGAGACAGGTTAGTTTGCCCGACTGATGAACTGGATGCTGCGACAGTAAGGTCATACCACGAAGCCATCATCTGTTGGACTGCGACTGAACGCCGCTCAGTGTTCAGGGCTTTTCGGTGCTTCGGAGGGGTGGGAGGGCGTAGGTAGGGGGCTGGACTGTGTGCACGTGTTCAGGGTTTTTCGGTGTTTCGGAGGGGGTGGGAGGGCGTAGGTAGGGGGCTGGACTGTGTGCGCTTTTTGATCCTTGGATGTCGGCTCTTCCTATCATTAAGACGCAGAAGTCCCAAAGTGTCAGAGTCTTCACCCGCCAATAGGGAACGTGAGCTTCGTGAGACAGGTTAGTTTGCCCGACTGATGAACTGGATGCTGCGACAGTAATCGAAATCAGTGCGAAAGGAACACTTCCTTCAGATACTTGGTTCATGTGACTCATGTGGCCAGCTGGAAAGGTCCTACCACGAAGCCATCATCTGTTGGACTGCGACTGATCGCCTCGGGGTGGGAGGGAGTAGGTAGGGGGCTGGACTGCGTGCGTTTTTTGATCCTTGGCTGTCGGCTCTTCCTATCATTGAGACGCAGAAGTCTCGAAGTGTCGGACTGTTCACCCACCAATAGGGAGCGTGAGCTGGTTTAGCACGTCGTGACAAGCGCCTGTGATAAGTTTGTGATAAGTTTGAAGGTCTTGTAGCTTTTGGGTCCCAGGGTTTAGGATTCATGAGCCATATTTTTTTGAACTATGGGGCCTCCCTGCTCTGTTTTCGCTATGCGGGCTTCGTCCTTTCAAAATCCATGCAAAGACAAGCACCCGTGGTGCCTGTGAAAATCAAAGTTTGAAGATCTTGTAGCTTTTGGATCCAAAAGGGTTTAGGATTCATGAGCCATATTTTTTTGAACTCTGGGGCCTCCCTGCTCTGTTTTCGCTATGCGGGCTTCGTCCTTTCAAAATCCATGCAAAGACAAGCGCCCGCGGTGCCTGTGAAAATCAAAGTTTGAAGATCTTGTAGCTTTTGGATCCAAAAGGGTTTAGGATTCATGAGCCATATTTTTTTGAACTATGGGGCCTCCCTGCTCTGTTTTCGCTATGCGGGCTTCCTCCTTTCAAAATCCATGCAAAGACAAGCACCCGTGGTGCCTGTGAAAATCAAGTTTGTAGCTTTTGGATCCAAAAGGGTTTAGGATGCATGAGCCATATTTTTTTGAACTCTGGGGCCGCCCTGCTCTGTTTTCGCTATGCGGGCTTCGTCCTTTCAAAATCCATGCAAAGACAAGCACCCGTGGTGCCTGTGAAAATCAAGTTTGTAGCTTTTGGATCCAAAAGGGTTTAGGATTCATGAGCCATATTTTTTTGAACTCTGGGGCCTCCCTGCTCTGTTTTCGCTATGCGGGCTTCGTCCTTTCAAAATCCATGCAAAGACAAGCACCCGTGGTGCCTGTGAAAATCAAGTTTGTAGCTTTTGGATCCAAAAGGGTTTAGGATGCATGAGCCATATTTTTTTGAACTATGGGGCCTCCCTGCTCCGTTTTCGCTATGCGGGCTTCGTCCTTTCAAAATCCATGCAAAGACAAGCACCCGTGGTGCCTGTGAAAATCAAGTTTGTAGCTTTTGGATCCAAAAGGGTTTAGGATGCATGAGCCATATTTTTTTGAACTATGGGGCCTCCCTGCTCCGTTTTCGCTATGCGGGCTTCGTCCTTTCAAAATCCATGCAAAGACAAGCACCCGTGGTGCCTGTGAAAATCAAGTTTGTAGCTTTTGGATCCAAAAGGGTTTAGGATGCATGAGCCATATTTTTTTGAACTCTGGGGCCTCCCTGCTCTGTTTTCGCTATGCGGGCTTCGTCCTTTCAAAATCCATGCAAAGACAAGCGCCCGCGGTGCCTGTGAAAATCAAAGTTTGAAGATCTTGTAGCTTTTGGATCCAAAAGGGTTTAGGATTCATGAGCCATATTTTTTTGAACTATGGGGCCTCCCTGCTCTGTTTTCGCTATGCGGGCTTCCTCCTTTCAAAATCCATGCAAAGACAAGCACCCGTGGTGCCTGTGAAAATCAAGTTTGTAGCTTTTGGATCCAAAAGGGTTTAGGATGCATGAGCCATATTTTTTTGAACTCTGGGGCCGCCCTGCTCTGTTTTCGCTATGCGGGCTTCGTCCTTTCAAAATCCATGCAAAGACAAGCACCCGTGGTGCCTGTGAAAATCAAGTTTGTAGCTTTTGGATCCAAAAGGGTTTAGGATTCATGAGCCATATTTTTTTGAACTCTGGGGCCTCCCTGCTCTGTTTTCGCTATGCGGGCTTCGTCCTTTCAAAATCCATGCAAAGACAAGCACCCGTGGTGCCTGTGAAAATCAAGTTTGTAGCTTTTGGATCCAAAAGGGTTTAGGATGCATGAGCCATATTTTTTTGAACTATGGGGCCTCCCTGCTCCGTTTTCGCTATGCGGGCTTCGTCCTTTCAAAATCCATGCAAAGACAAGCACCCGTGGTGCCTGTGAAAATCAAGTTTGTAGCTTTTGGATCCAAAAGGGTTTAGGATGCATGAGCCATATTTTTTTGAACTATGGGGCCTCCCTGCTCCGTTTTCGCTATGCGGGCTTCGTCCTTTCAAAATCCATGCAAAGACAAGCACCCGTGGTGCCTGTGAAAATCAAGTTTGTAGCTTTTGGATCCAAAAGGGTTTAGGATGCATGAGCCATATTTTTTTGAACTCTGGGGCCTCCCTGCTCTGTTTTCGCTATGCGGGCTTCGTCCTTTCAAAATCCATGCAAAGACAAGCGCCCGCGGTGCCTGTGAAAATCAAAGTTTGAAGATCTTGTAGCTTTTGGATCCAAAAGGGTTTAGGATTCATGAGCCATATTTTTTTGAACTATGGGGCCTCCCTGCTCTGTTTTCGCTATGCGGGCTTCGTCCTTTCAAAATCCATGCAAAGACAAGCACCCGTGGTGCCTGTGAAAATCAAGTTTGTAGCTTTTGGATCCAAAAGGGTTTAGGATGCATGAGCCATATTTTTTTGAACTCTGGGGCCTCCCTGCTCTGTTTTCGCTATGCGGGCTTCGTCCTTTCAAAATCCATGCAAAGACAAGCACCCGTGGTGCCTGTGAAAATCAAGTTTGTAGCTTTTGGATCCAAAAGGGTTTAGGATTCATGAGCCATATTTTTTTGAACTCTGGGGCCTCCCTGCTCTGTTTTCGCTATGCGGGCTTCGTCCTTTCAAAATCCATGCAAAGACAAGCACCCGTGGTGCCTGTGAAAATCAAGTTTGTAGCTTTTGGATCCAAAAGGGTTTAGGATGCATGAGCCATATTTTTTTGAACTATGGGGCCTCCCTGCTCTGTTTTCGCTATGCGGGCTTCGTCCTTTCAAAATCCATGCAAAGACAAGCACCCGTGGTGCCTGTGAAAATCAAGTTTGTAGCTTTTGGATCCAAAAGGGTTTAGGATGCATGAGCCATATTTTTTTGAACTATGGGGCCTCCCTGCTCTGTTTTCGCTATGCGGGCTTCCTCCTTTCAAAATCCATGCAAAGACAAGCACCCGTGGTGCCTGTGAAAATCAAGTTTGTAGCTTTTGGATCCAAAAGGGTTTAGGATGCATGAGCCATACTTTTTCGACGCCGGATTTATTTATGAGTGAGAAGGTATCCTAGCAACACCGAGTTGAGGAGTCAGAAGGTATCCTAAACTTAGACAAAGCGCTGTGAGGCCGGAACAGGTAACCCAAATGTCCCAGCATTGTGGAGACGCGCGAGGCGACCTCAACAGCATGGCACTGTTTTAGAGACCCCTGCCCCAAGTCAAAAGCAATTGACGCGATTTAGGAGGCTTTGCCATCTAGTCTTGTGGCAGCAAGGGAATGGACGCGATTTCGGAGGCCCTGCGCAAACAACAAGCTAATGATTTTGGGGCGGCAGTAAAACAAAACCCTGGGGCTCGCCTTCCAAGGGAGGGAATCTTTTTTCCAGTGCAAGCATCGGTCGGCAGCCAGATTGTGAAGAGAGTCGGAAACTGCACCCTTCTTCGGCCTCCAGCTTCCTTGAAAGGCGCTTTCCAGGGTTTTGTTTTCCTCGGGGTTTCCGGGGGAAGCTAAAGGGGCGAGCGCCCTTGTGTGATGAACTCGAGACCAGAACATTGCACGTCCGACGTGTGAGCAGTAACGCAGCTTGGAGGGGAGGGTGTAAACAGGTTTGGTCAGGTTCAAAGCCGGATTACACCAACACCGTGTTTGGAGAATGTTTCAGAGCCAGACGCTGCTGTGGCTGCGAGCAAGTTGCGCCGGAAGTTTTTTGGCTCCTGCAAGGCACTTGGCGGCTGTGTGAGGGTTTGCGGAATGGAGGGAGAACTGCCTGTAGAAGGCGATGTCGCGAGAAGGGCCGAAGCAAGGCCTTCGCAGCCGGCTGCGCAGGAGCGGTCGTGTAACCCGGTTGTGGGAGTTATAAGAACTAAGTGGGTTCTGAAGCCGACAATGGGTGTCAGTTTACCGCCCCTACTGTTGCTACTTGCACATGGTCCCGTGCAGTGACTGTATACTGTCCATACAGCAAGGCTCAAGCCCGGCGCCCCCTTTCCTACTGTGCATGCCAGGTGGGACGAAGCAACCCTGAAGCTACAGCAACTCAAGCAAAAAGACCTGGCCTGCGCCGCAAAGTCTGCCGCTGTTACGCCGCAGAGAGGGGCCGGTTGCAGGATGCATCCTGCGACTGCAGACAAGAGTGGCCAGTTGCAGGACCGCGAGCTGAGGAAGGCCCTGAAAGCTGCTTTGCAAGCTCGATGGCGTCAGCGAAAGCGGGAAGAGAATCACCAGTTGAGTCCACTCCAGCGGTTGATAGCTATTTGCATCTTCATGTTGGCGGATTGGAGAAGCCAGCCTGCAGTCCTGTTTGCGAGACGGGTGTTGCGCAAGAGGGGACTCTTGCCGGTGACGCCGTTACTTCCGATGCCATGACAGCTGCCCTCGAAACCATGGTGTTGGCTTCGGACACCGACCTCTTAGCGCAGTTAATGATGCCTAGGAGCAAGAAGCATTTGCAGATTCATCAGAAAGCTGTGCATTTTTTGGTGGAATACCGTCTCCGACAGTGGATATGCGAGCAAAATCTGATGGCCCGGCTTCCGCCGTCCATATCCGAGGCGGCAGAGATGTATGTGACCTTATGCTTTCACTTATGCCCCGATCACCCGCGCGCCGCACGCATGCAGAGGGCGCTGGAAGATGGCGCCGTGCAGCACTCGGCTGGTCGCTACTTCCGGCGGTGGGCGAAGAAGTTCCAGTACGAATGGGGCTTCAAGCTCGGGCAGCTGCGGCCGGCGTCGCACCTCTCGTCCGAGGACATCAAGCAGAAGGCTCCGGCTTCGGTGTCCCAAGCTCCTGCAACAGTGTCCTTGTCATGCATCCTGTCGACCCCGTGTGATCCAAACCCGAGGCCACATTTGGCTTCAAAAAAACAGTCAATCTGCCTTTCCTGGCGCAAGCCCGAGCCCAAATTTAGACTCGTAAATTGTTCCCATATTTGGCTTCGTTCGCTTCCCTTTTTGGTTGGCAGGTGCAGCTGTGTTGGCAAAGGTGCCGGCACTTGACAGGCACGACGCAGAAGCGTGTGGTTTTGATCAATATGGACGAGACAAGTTTACAGTATACCCGGCCCTCTTTCACTGGGTTGGTACATGAAGGTCTGCAGCGACGTGGTGTTTCTGGACACGCAAAGAAGGACGTTCGCCGAGGATGCTGCACGTTGCTGGCTTGCGTGTGCAGCGACGCATCGTTGCAGGCTGCAATGCCACAGTACATCCTGTCGAATGGTAGATACCTGACAAAGAAAGCTTTGCGAAGTGCCCGTGCAAACATGCCGGCTAATTTTCATGTGGAATTTGCAAAGACAGCCTGGAATTCAGGAGCCCGAATGGTGGAAGTTCTTCGAGTGTTAAAGGCCTGCGTTCCGGTCGACGTCGAACCAATATTACTCTTGGATTGCGCTCCCTGCCACCTCGATGGCAAGGTGCTGGCTGAGGCGAAATGTTTAGGCATTGGCATATGCCCCATACCCCCGCATCTGACGTGGCTGGTACAGCCAGCCGATGTTCACCTCTTTTCAGGCTTGAAACAACATTTCCGGCGCTGTTACAGACGTCGCCTCCTGCAAGATGGACAGATGACCGCTTCTGCTTTCCTGGAAATGCTTTCAACAGAATGTCAGCATTATCTGTGCAGCAGGACATGGAGAGGTGCTTTCGAACAGCTAGGTTTCTGCGGAGATGCAGTTCTCACGAAACATCTCCAAGCTCTGTTTCCACATGGGCTGCCCGTCCTGGCACAAGCCCCGCTTACAGCGGAAGAGCTACGGCAGCTGTTGCCTAAAGGGCACACCCTTCGTGCGGGACTTTGGTCAAGACGCGTGCTTGCTCTGTAAATGCAGGTTGCCTCATGTCTTCTGCAAGCTGCTCGCGTGCCACACAGTAACAAGGCGGGCGCTCCCAACTTTGATAAAGAAAGGGAACACAACGAAAAAGGTAAGAGAAAGAGAACGGGCGTTCTCAATCTCAGCAAGTTGCAAGAAAGAGAAGCGTCAGAGAAAGAGAACGGGCGTTCTCAGTCTCGCTCGCAAGCAAGAAAGAAAAACAAAGAGAAAGAGAACGGGCGTTCTCAGTCTCGAACAGTTAGAGAAAGTTGGCAGGACAACTGAGCCTCAGTTGACGCAACTTTCGAGCGCTCAACCCACAAAGACTCAAGGGAGAGCCAATGCAGCTTGCAAAGTGTTTACAGAGCGCAAGCTTTGGATTAGCGGGCGCTCATAAGGAACTGTGAAATGCTAAGAAGCCCCAGCTACACAGCAAACACAGCACCAAGCACACCTACGCCTCCAAAGCAAAGAAGGACCTTTGGCAACGGACTCCACCCCTCCTACGGCTCCCTGGTGGCTACCTTGAGCCAAGTCCTTGAGCCAAAGGGGTTACGGACAAAAAGAACCCTTTAACAAAATTCCACCACCGAAAAACAGTAGAAGGAAGTTACACGTGTAAAGTGAGGTTCCTTTACACTACGCGAGCCACTGCATCTAACTTGGCTGGGGCAACAACCGACAACGCAGCCCTTGTGGCTGTAGCGCGCTGGCCGCATACTTGTTTGAGCATTCTTTTGCCACTGGCTTCTTGAGCCCTGCTCGGCTCCAAGTGCGCTGCATCTTCCTGCCCAAATTCCGTAATAGAAGGGAGTGTGTCCTGGCTTTGGGCATTCATGGCTTTTGACGATCACACAGAGTTTCCCTGCACTTGTGCCAGCGTGTGGCAACCCTGGGAGATTGGCCTTGTGAGTCAGCCGGCAAAGAGAAAGTTGGTTCCTAGGGGTCCCTTGCTTTGTGAACTTGAGAAGCCTGAATCAGCTGAGGGTTCCAAGCCTGGCTGGAACAAACTTTGGGGTTCAAGTCCAAGAGTCGGTGGCTTGCATGCGGTGGCTCCTGCGCGGTGGCTCGTCTGCTTTGCAGAGGGTTCTGATGTCTTTTTCTAAGTCTTCTGGACTTGTCAAGATTGCTGAAAGATGGCTTGTTTCAGCAAGCACGTCTCGAACCCTAAGGCTTGGATTGATCTCCAGAGTGAGAAACGCAACCTTGCGTTGCAAAGTGGCAGCGCATCATTCTTGTCGAGCCTCTTGCCTTTGGAATTGCACGTGACTTCCATGCTTTAAAGGCAGCAGAGTTGGGTACTGGTCCTTTTCTTAACAGCGTGGCAGATGTCTTGGCCGTGAAAGCCACGTCTACCTTGCACTCACGTTGGAAATGCTCTTATGAGGTATGTTGCTTGGACTTCGGGAGACTGCGATAGATTTTGATGCAAAGGACGCTGCGTCGATTTACTTGAAGAGTGTTCTCTCCGCTTTTGCCTTAGGCAAAGTATGTTGTGGGCTTGAAGGGTGTTGACGAGATTTTGGAGTTGGGTCGTGTTCGAGGCCTGGCAGCTTGGCTTTTCTTGCAGAAAAGGAAACTCCTTCAACGAAACCTCTTGAAAGTCGGACATGTTGCTGGAGAATTTGCTGTGGTCTTGAAGGGAGGTGCTTGCAGAGAGGATGATGCAAGGCAAATGGACCCTCCTCTTGGGTGGGGGTGGAAGGGGGTGGGGAGGGGGGGGGGGGGGGGGTGGAGGCGTGGGGGGTAGGGGGTGTGGGAAGGGGGTGGGGGTGGGGGGGGGGTGGGGTGGGAGGGGGTGGGTGGGACGTGAGGGGGGAAGCCGAGCCACACCTTTGCAAGAGGACAGGGCCGAGCCACACCTTTGCAAAAAAAAAAACCCTCCGCCGGTTTTCCAGGTTCAAAAGGGTTTTGGGAAGGGTCTGGGGTTTAGTTGGGGTTCTCCGATGCCCAGCGTGCGCTCCTTTTTGTGCGCCTGATTTCAGCATATCTCGAGGTCCACGTTTCGAGGAGCAAGACCAGCTACTCCCTCGAGAGGAAGGTTAGGTTCTTGCCGATGGCAGCTTGTGCTTTGGGTCTGTCGGGTCTCAGGTGGGCCGATGCTTGGATCGATGTCATGGAAGAATGTGGGATTCGTATCCACGAGGATTTGCCCCTTTTGCCGTGTCCGGGTTCCAACGGGACCTGGAGGAATGTGCCTCTGCCGTGCGACCAGGCTTGTGTGTGGCTCAGGAGCCTGCTTGCCCAGGGAGTGGGCCCCGATGAGTACTTGAACAATGTGGGTACGCATTCGTGCAAAAGAACAATCCTCTCATGGGCCAGCAAACGTGGTCTGCCAAGGGACCAAAGGGCCATCTTAGGCTATCATACTTCGAAGTCTGCCGGTGTGGGCACGGAGCTCATCTATGAGGTCGATGCTCAGTCGGTCCCCCTCAGGGCCATGGCGTCGATGTTGCGTGAGGTTCGCTCTGGGAAGTTCATGCCTGACAACCCAAGGGGGCAACAGCTGGCAGAGGAGTGTGAGAGGTCCGATGAGGAGGATCCACCTCATTCCGAGGATGATATGGCGTCGTCTTCGGGATCCTCGGTCGACGAAGAAGAACGCGACCACTCAGAAGACGAGCAGGCCGTCGCCAGGACTATGGAGAGGTGGCCGGGCAGAGTGGATGAGCAGCGGCTGCCAGGTGATGCAAGGTACTTCAGACACCGCCAGTCGAGAGTCATCCACCTAACCGCCGATGAAGCAGGAGCACATTTGATATGTGGAAAGGCGTTGTCTGTACAGTATGGGCGATGCCATGAGCGACCTGCAGTTTTGCATCCTAGGTGTAAGCAGTGCTTTAGAGCATATGTGGCTTGATGTGAGATTTCACTTGTGCATAGTGCATAAAGGGTGTGTGTGATGCCCACGATTTGCTCACTTGCTGCGCCCCCTTTTTGCATGTGCTCTATGTCCATGAATGTGATGTTCGTGCTCTACGCCCATGTGAGAGTTCTCTCTTGAGAGTTGTCTGCATGTCATGGCAAACACAGATGCTTTACCAGCTCTGAGCAGGTGCCAGGTCTCAAGCCTAGTTTGGGTGGCCGTCAAAGATGGCTGCATACTCGGAGAGTGGTCCAGTGTTTCTCTGCGAGATGTGTGAAGGTAGGCTTAGAAGAAGCTGATGTCGCAGCCCTTAAACGGGCTGGCATCACTACTCTGGCCCGGGTAGCCTTCATGTCAAGCTATACGCCAGGATCGGGCGATGACAAGGAGCTCATCGCCGCTTTTGAGACAGCGCTTGGAGGCCCGGCGAGTTTGGGGCAGAAGGCAGCCTTTCGCAGGTTGTTCCATGAGAGCTTTGCTGTCACTACGAGTGAAATGCGCTCGTTGGTGGAGCGGACCGATGAAACAGCCCCTAGGAAGCTTTCGGTGCCGGAACGCTCAGAGAGGTTCGCTGCCATCGTGAAGAAGTTGCCGGGGTTGGACATCCGGAATCGAATGGAGCCATCAGATGCTCTGGTGGATGCGTGTGTCGCCATCTATGAACAGAATCGCCTCCAATACCTGGAGTGGGATCGTCTGACAAGCAAAGAGCACGAGGCACAGACGAGTGCCAAGCGAGAGTCGGTCTTGTCCATCGACAGCTCGGGGAAACTCAAGACTGAAAAGCCTGACCCGGGGCGTGCAGACACGTCCAGTGAGTTCCTCATCCACCTTGCTTTGTCCCGTCGAGGCATTGCTTTCGAGATGGCGAATCTCTTGGATTTTGTCCATCACAGCCGTTGGGTAGAAAAGCTTCTGAGTGCACGCCTGGATGTTGTTCCTTCCACTCACAATCTACCAACCTTCATGCAGTTGCAGGCTGCGGATCGCAAGTTGTTCCAGTGCCTTGCTGATCAGACACGTGCCGGCCTCCAGGTCACAGCATCGGGAAGGCCCTTGGATCAGGTGTTCGAAGCCGCCACCTGTTCAACGGAGGTTGTCAGCTTGATGCAGCCCTTGCCTAAGGCTACTGGCGCTGGCTCTGAGAAAGAGCGTGGTGGGCCTTACGGCCTTCCGCCGCCCCCTCCTGGAGGGAAGGGCCGTGGAAAGGGGAAGCGAGGTAAGGCTTCCGTTCGGCAGATGAAAATGCCCCAGGGGCTGGAAGGCTGTCGGAGTCACACGAACGGCGGAGACCCCATATGCTTCGGATACGGTCTCAAAACTTGTCGCGAGACCGTCACTCGCGGCAGGTGCCTCAGGGTGCAAAACCACATGATCTTGATCAGGCTGAGAACTTGGCTTGGGATTTGGCAGGCCATCGTGAGCTGAATGCTTCAGACCTTGTGCGCCTGTTCGACGCCTTGCCAAAGGAACCATCCCCCCGCGCTGCTGAAGGCAGCAGCTTCACTGCGCGTTTGTGCATGGCGGAGTCGTCGGCGTGCGGACGACGACTGGGAAGTACCCTGCATCCACTGCCTTGTTTGTGGCATGGCTCAAACATGCGGCCCCCGGGTGTGTCTTCTCTTCCATTGCCGTGCTTGATCAGAGCCCCTCTTCCATGCATAAGGACCTGCAAAATGCGCCCTTCCCTAATATAATCACTCCCCTAACCGCCTTTCAGGGAGGTTGTCTTTGGGTTGAGGGTGAGGGCTCCGAAGTCCGTGAGTTTCAAGGCCACGATGTCATCGGTGGCCCCGTTCCCTGGAATGGCCCGTGTCTGCTCTTGTCGGCCAGCGAGAATGCGCACTGCGTCCTCCCATGGCAGGGCCGCCGCCTTGTCTTGGTAGGTTTCACGGTGCGTTTCGTGGAAAAGCTAAAGCCCCCCGCTAAGGCAGAGCTGCGGCGCTTAGGGTTTCCCTTAGAAGCTAGTCCCAGTCCAAACCTGCCAACCCCGCCAGGTGTCGCTCCAGCTGCAGGAGCCCAACCCTTGGCAGAGGCCTCGGGCCCTCTTGCACCGCCCGGGCAACACTCATCTCGTCTGCTGTCGCCGTCGACTTCTCGCCCCCTTGTGCTCGAGTTGTGTGCGGGCTCTGCCCTTCTGTCTTGCGTAGCCAGAGAGGCCGGGTATGCGGTCGTGCCGGTGGATTGGGGCCACAGTAAGCATAGACCTTATGTTCATGTGCTGCAGCTGGACTTGCGCTTGTCACGCACCTGGGACTTCATCAGGCGTCTTGTTGAGACGCGCGACGTTGTGTGGGTGCATATCGCACCGCCGTGCGGCACAGCCAGCCGTGCACGCGAGCTTGGGAAGGGACCGCGCCCGCTTAGGTCCCTTCACCACCCTTGGGGGCGGCCCGATCTGTCCGAGGTTGAGGCAGCTCGGGTTGCTAGCGCCAACGCTATCTATCGGGAGACGGCTGCCTTTTGCCAATGGCTCCTGTCCAACCATGCTTGCGTCCATTTCTCGGTGGAAAATCCATTACACTCGTGGCTTTGGCACTTGCCCTGCTTCCAATCCTTGGTGCAGAGACTTACCTTAGTAAGCTTCCTTGCATGGTTCTACACGCAAGAAGGCTACAGCTTTCCTGTCCTCCCACCCAGTTTTGGGTCGTCTCAGCGGGCCCTGCCCGGGCTGCCCCAAGCATGATGCTTGGGTTGTGGACGGCACATCTGCCACAGCTTTGGAGGCCGCCTACCCAAAACTTCTCTGTGAACGGCTTGTTGCCTGCATCGATGACGTCGCTGCCGAGCGTCAGCTTCTTCCGAGCAAGCTTCAGACTTCTGAGCTAGCTACTGCCCGTGCAGCAGGGCAGGTTCAGCCCCGAGGTCGCCGTTTCGCGCCTGTCATCGGCGAATTTGCGCATACCGTGTCAGTGGCTTCCTCCGAAGCCCCCCCGCTGAATGCTAAGTACTGCTTGGAAAAACCTTGGTTGCAGGTGCCTGCCAAGTCTAAACTGCTGCGTGTGTCCGTTGAAAGGGGTGGTGCCGACACCCGCGCAGGTGAGCTGGGAGATGAGCTCCAGTTGGATGCAGCTTCTTGTCGGTTTTACACTTTCGGTGTGTATCGATCTCCAGAGGTTTTCGTGCGTGAGGCAAAGCAGCTTGATCACCCCTTTGATACTGCCAGGGCCCTTCCGGACGGACTGGTTCGTGTGCTCTTCGACCTCCTTGTGCAAGGCCCGGTAGTGGTTATGCGACGGAGACTGGAGAAAATCAGGCTCTGGAGACAATGGGCTGTTGAGCTTGAGGGCGAGGAGCGTGCCCTGAAGCAAAAACTTGAACCTTCGGTGAGGCGTGTCTTGGGAGGCAAGCGCCTGTGCCTTCTTAAGCGCATTGCCGAATCTCTTGATTGGCCTGACAAGCAACTTCATCACGACTTGGAGGTGGGGTTCAAACTCACTGGCTATATGCCGTGCACTGGGGTCTTCCATCCTGACGAGAAGCCGGCACTTAGCTCCGAACAAGATTTTTGGGAAGGTGCGGCCATCTTGAGGGATTCTCTGTGGGACAAGGTGTCCAGCCAAGTTTGTGGTGAGCATGCGCAAGAGCTGTGGAACGTCACTCTTGAAGAAGCAGATGCAACATCAAAGGCTTGGCTTGATGGTCCTTACACTAGAGAGCAGCTCGAAGAAGTGTACCCGCAAGGGTGGTCGCCTTGTCGCCGCTTCAGTGTAATGCAAGGAAAGCTTCGCCCAATCGACGACTTCTCCGAATCCGGCGTGAACTCCTGTTTTGGGTGTTTCGAGCGTGTTAGCCTGAAAGCACTGGATGAGCTTTGCTGGGTTTGCCTGCAGGTATTCCGGTGTGCCTTGGGTTCCGGTTGGGTGAAGTTTGTGTTGAGTGACGGTACGTCCCTCGAGGGCAGGTTGCACAAGGTTTGGGCGGATCGCGAGAAACTGCGTCCACTCACGAAGACCTATGACCTTAGAGCAGCTTACAAACAACTACCTCTTCACCCGGGAGAGAAGCCGAAAGCAGTCCTGATTCTCAAAAACCCTACCGACGACCGGTGTATGCATTTCCGTGCAACACCTTGCCCTTCGGTTCGTCGGCTTCGGTGATGCACTTCAATCGAGTGTCCTTGTTGCTGCAGCGGATCCTTTGGGAAGTCGGCGTGGTAGCAGCATGTTACTATGACGACTACCCAACGATGGCTCCTGCGATGCTTAGTGGGGGCACTGATAATGCAGTGCATTCGGTCATGGACCTTCTTGGGTTCACGCTATCGCGCGACAAAGAGCAGCCTTTCAGCTCTGCTAGCGAGATGCTGGGAGTTGTCCTGGATACAAGTGACCCGTCCTTTGGGCACGTGTGCGTGTCAAACAAACAGGAACGGGCTGCGGCGATGTGTGAGACACTTGCAGGCGTGTTGAGGGATCGAAAGGTGCTGGTTCGCGAGGTGCCCTCCCTTTTGGGGAGATTGCAATTTCTTGAGTCGCAGATGTTGGGACGCACGGGCCGTCTGGCCATTTCCGATTTGAGGAACCTGGAGCGGGCGGCTGCATTCAGTGTGGAGCTGAGCCAGTCACAGTTCGATGCGGTTGCTTTGCTACGTGCTCGCCTTTTGAAGGGGGTTCCCCGTCAGCTTTCAGCGAGCCCTGCATCTGCCCCAGTCCTCGTGTTTACCGATGGAGCATGCGATCCCTGTGGAAGTTCCTTTCATGCGGCTGTGGGAGGCGTTCTCATCGCTCCGGGGTCGAAGCCCCGTGTCTTTGGTGCCAAAGTTCCTGAGGCCTTGATCCAACGGTGGGCACGGGGGCGCAAGCACATCATAGGCCAGGTTGAGTTGTATGCCGTGGTCTTAGCCAGGGTCTTGTGGTCCAGGGCACTAGGAGGGAACAGGGTCTTCTTCTTCGTTGACCATACGGGTGTCCACAGCTCGTGTATCAACGGGAATGCGGCTGATACCTCCTGGCGTGAGCTGCTCATGCAACTAGAGGCTGCGGACGAGGCGGCGCCGTGCCTAGCATGGTTCCACAGGGTTGCCAGTGAAAGTAACCCTTCCGATGCCCCCTCCCGGGGTGAGTGGGAGAAACTGCGGTACCTAGGGGAGTTCTTGCGCGACGAGGTCAAATGTCCGATGACCTATTGCACTCTTGAAAGCACTTGATGCGCCGGCCAAAGAGAAGTGGGGGAGATGAACGGGGCCGACACATCAGTTGTGTCAGAGGGCCGATGGCACTACATGTGCCATAATGCAGGCCACTTAAAAAGTGGCATGACGTACTTTCCCCATTTTCTCGGCGTGCCGATGAAGAAAAAGTGCGCATGTGTTAGAGTGTGAAGTGTGATGAGTTAGATTTGCGTGATTTGGGAATCCGATATTTTTAATGCTGAGTTCAACGCGTTTTCCCTCGAGATTGAATGTTGGATAATTCTCTGTAGCTCGCCTGCGGGCAGAAGTTATACCATTGCGGATGAAAGATTTTTGTTCTGGTTGGGGCAGCTATAAGCTATACTTCATGCTTGCATGACGTTGCCTTATAGTTGCACCAAAACCAAAATTGTCTGTCGGAGAGTATCTTTAAGCAATTTTGGGCCAGAACAAAAGTTTGGAATTTTAATATTCAACAGCACTTTGCTTTTGTATGCATGACACATTCTTGGGACATGTGTTGTTCAGGATTGTTTAAATTTGTGATTGAAATTTCGCTTGCATTCCAGAGCTTGGCTCAGCAGTCAGCAAAGCAAGGAAATTTCTTTCCCACCCTCCCAACCCGGGGGAGATGAACGGGGCCGACACATCAGTTGTGTCAGAGGGCCGATGGCACTACATGTGCCATAATGCAGGCCACTTAAAAAGTGGCATGACGTACTTTCCCCATTTTCTCGGCGTGCCGATGAAGAAAAAGTGCGCATGTGTTAGAGTGTGAAGTGTGATGAGTTAGATTTGCGTGATTTGGGAATCCGATATTTTTAATGCTGAGTTCAACGCGTTTCCCCTCGAGATTGAATGTTGGATAATTCTCTGTAGCTCGCCTGCGGGCAGAAGTTATACCGTTGCGGATGAAAGATTTTTGTTCTGGTTGGGGCAGCTATAATCAAGTCTGGGATCTTCGCGGGCGAGAAAGTATGACATTTATTGGAATGCGTGATGTTTTCGAGTCTTGCGAGGCCAACACCCATCCCGTGTCTGCTCCTGTTAAGATTTTAGGGACCACTCGAAGACTGCTGCAGAGGTTGCCTGTCTTGCGTGAGGAGTCTGACCAACGAGTGCATGCATTGAAACGTTTCAAATACATGATCATGTACGATCTGGATGCTACTAGGATGGGTCAAAGCCTGGCGACTTTGGCAACCCGCGTGATGGATGACCAAGAATTGAGGCAGTCGTTTGCTGATTCCTTCAGGAGCAAGGCAACTTCTACTTTGCAAAAGAGATGTGGATCGCTGGAGAAATACTTCTTATGGGCACTCAATCATGGGTGTGAGTCTCCTTGGTCCGCTAGCGAACAGGTGATCTACGACTACGTCAAGACCCTCAGGGAAGATCAGCAAGGACCGACCTCTGCCAGGCACTTTTTGGAGGCGATTCGTTTTCTTCATTCTGTGGCAATCTTCCGGAATATGCTGCCTGAACAAGTCCTTAGTGCCAGAGTACGTGGTGTGGCACAGGATATGTTTCTTAAAAAGCGGCCGAAGAAGCAGGCATCTGAACTTACCGTGGCAATGACTGCGGATCTGGAAGATTTTTGCTGTGGAGCTGTTGCATATGAGGCCTGCATCTCTGGGCAGCTGTTGTTTTGTTTGCATTCGGGAGCTCGATGGAGTGACGCGCAGCGGCTCAGATCCATTGAGCTTCAAATGGACGGATGTGTGGTGCTGATTGTCGCTATGGGTCTTTCTTCAAAGACCACCATGACAGAGGATGCAAAAACTACCTTCCTCCCATATGTGGCGATAGGCTCGGGCATCAAGCACGCCTGGGGCTCGGCGTGGCTGGCGGCACGGAAAGAGTGTAGGTTGACGCTGGATGATTTCACACTCCCGTCATGGCGAGAGGCGACTGGTGATTGGGCTGCAGTGCCAATGTCTTCATCAGAAGCAACGATCTGGTTATGGGACTTTTTGATGCGGAAGCAACACCCTGAAGAAACTTTGCAACGCATTAGCTCTCACTCGTGCAAAGCCACATTGCCCACTTGGACGGCGCGGAGCTCTGTTGTGAAGTTTACCAGTGCCGAGCAGCGTTTGGTTGGGCACCACGTGAAACCAAAGGATCGCAGCCCTCTGACCTATTCCAGGCAATCTTATACGTCGCTGTACGGGAAGATCCTATCGATGTTCCGGACAATCCAGAGTGGGCGTTATGAGCCTGACCTTTCTGAGGTGCAGCGCATTTTGCGTGTGGCCAATGAATTTGACGCACCGGGAGGAGAGGAGTCTCTACGCGCGGAGCGTAGCAGGCGAGCTGATGGGCTTTGTGATGATGATCAATCTGGCGCCATGGGAGATTCCGAGGGATCCGAGGACTCGTCGTCCGGCAGCGAAGAGGCCCATAGAGTACCGGCTGCGGGGAACTTGAATCCTGCACGCAGGTGCCGGGCCCCTTTTGATGAGCCTGTTCAGGCTGGAGAGGTCTTCGTCCATCGGGTTTCTGGAATTGTCCATTGCTTGAAGGATGGTCCTGGTGGCGTCGAGTTTTATTGTGGTCGAGTTAAGACATGCGCCTATAACGCTTTTGAAGAGGCTGGTGCAGCGGCGGAAGATCCGGACTGCTGTATCCAGTGCAGCCGTGCTAGGGATGGACGCAGGCGCTAATCCGACTGAAAGAAATGGGGAGTTGCCGACCGGTCGGGAAACTCACCCGGCCGGAAGCGAACGGCGGTTGCGCTAGTATACGTACACAGCATGCACAGCTGGTGCACTTCATTTGCTCTCTGCTTACTGACATTTGCACGTGCTGTGATGTGGATGGACGGCGACCGGCAGAGATCTTGTCTGCCGGAATCCCAGCCGAAACATTGCGGGAATCTGTGACCCGCAAAATCTGGGCTAGATCCTTTCCTGTGCTACATGCGACACTTCTTGAAGTTGTGTTCCGATCCTTCCACACGATTTTGGATCAGTTAAATCTCACTACCAGCGGAAAGCTCATCCGCTGGAAGCAGAGAAAGCCAGGAAGGACGAACATGTCGTTGCGAGTAAGTTTGCCTCCTGCTGAATGCGATTGACTTGTACCGATGAAGGTGAGTTTCATCGGAAGCTCTGATTGTGAACTTCGCGCAGACTGCTCTACCTGGAAACACTCCAGGATCCAAGAGAGAGGCTAGCTAGGTCTCCCAAAAAAGTAGGACGCAGCCATGGCAGGGGTGACGCTAGATTCCGAGGCAGCCTTCAAAGAACGGTGCGACAAGGTCGGCCTCAACAACGACGTCTTCGATGAGCTGACGGGTCAGGGATACAAAACATTCGGATCCATGGCCTTTGCAGTTGGCGCATCCCCCACCTCGATTTCGGAGGAGGATTTTCAGAACTGGGTTAGGAATGTCTTCGCAACTGCGCCAAACCACCATCAGCTGTCTTGTTTGCGAAGGATCCTCTTTGAATCCCAGGCACTGGGCATCAACGACATGAAGACAAGAGTCGAGCCGACTACCGAGATCCTGACCAGAAAGATGCCAACCGCGGAGCGTCTCTCTAGACAAAAGGCGCAAGAGAAACGGCTGCCAGGAGTCATTTTTGACCCACAAACTACGCCTTCACACCGCATCGTCGACCAGATCGTGGAAATGCTGGAAACGGGAGTCTTAGCATACATTCCACCAGGGAAGTTCACCAGCAGAGAACAAGAGATCCAGGCAAGCAAGCCGGACAAGACGCTGGCCATAGATGCGGATGGGAACTTGAAGATCGCTGCAAAGGGCGAGGACTTGATCTCCTGTGATACGGGGTCCGAGCTCACCTTGCGGCAGGCGTGGTCACGAAGGAGCCTCGCGTTTGACATTGCCGGCATGGCCTCCTATGCTACCCTGGAGGGGTGGTCGCACAAACTCTACGTGGTCCTTCAACGCCCTGCTCCACCAGGATATCACCCCATCGCTTTGACCCAGATTGTGGCAGCTGATCGGCACATGTTCACCCTCGCAGCTTCAAACTTGTTGGGGCAGCTTCAGCCGCAGCCCGGTCAGCCTAAACCCTTAGACAAAGAGATCAAGCGCCTCAGCGACAGTCCCGAGGTCCTCCAGTTCTTGACTCATCTCCCTCAAGGTGGCAGTTCCAAGCGCGCCTTTGACGAGGATGGCGATTGGGGTCGAGGTCGAGGACGGGGGCGCGGACGAGGAAAAGGCCGTGGGCCGTGGCCGGAAAGGCAAAGGCAAAGGCAGTGGCATCCAGGTCCCCGAGGGTGCGCAGACCAAGGTGAATGATCAACCGGTTTGCTTTGCTTACAATGTCGGCACTTGTGGCTTCAAAGTCAACAAAAAGAATCGGTGTGGACGTGGCTTCCATGTTTGTTGGTGGAAAGGATGTGGTGGTAACCACCCAGGCCACGCCTGCACCAAAGCTGCGCAGTGATGGTGTCCGGGGAGCGCGACGCACTCTCCGAAGGAAACTAAGCCGTCCTTCGAGGCGGATGTGGCGGATAAACAGGTCTGCCATGCTGCCGAGATGTTCGCGTGTCAGTGCATGAGAAAGGAGTCCAACGATTCGGCCCATCTCTTACAGCTTTTTGATCTTCTGCCTACAGTCAAGCCCCCTACAGAGGGCCGTGCTGCTACCGAAGGTAAAGCTTTCGGAACTGGCTTGTGGGTCCATGGCGGAATGGTTGGACTGAGGAATTCTTGTACAACTTTTGCGACAAGCACTAAGGTCATGACACGTTTTGTTAAACAAAGATGCCCTGGCCTCACCTTTTCTTCGATCGTCATCATGGAAGGCGTGGAGACATTCCCCCACGTAGACAGTCATAACGACCCCAGCAGTGAGAATGCTGTGTTCGGTCTGGGCCCTCCTGGGATTTTCTCCGGAGGGGAAGTTTGGATCGAGGACTCAAGTGGCTCCGTGGACTTTAAGCACGAGGAGGTGGTTTTGAAAGGGCGGCTGTTACCCGTCATACCTGGCCCAGCATGCTTTTGTGCACGCAAAGTGAGGCATGCAACTCTGCCCAACAAAGGTCGCCGAGTGGTTTTGATCGCTTTTTCAGTTCGTGACTCGCGCAAACTTGATTCTCAGCGCTCATGGTTTGGGATTCATGCTCCCTGCCGACGCTTCGACGACCCTCCTCGCCCAGACAGCCTCCCAACGCCTGAGGTTCCGACGGGAGCTCTTTAGCGGGAGTGGCAGTCTGTCCGCAGCGCTGCATGCCAATGGTTTCCAAGCCCTTGCGGTGGATCATTTGCCGAACAAACCATTGGTCCCCACCATGCGCTTGGACCTCTCTTCCGACGAGTCGCAGAACCTTGTTCTTGAACAGCTTCAGGTGACGCACCCTGTGTATCTACACTTGGGACCACCATGTGGTACGGCGAGTCGTGCTAGGGGGCGTCCTGTGCCTAAGTTCCTGGTGCGACAGGGGGCACCGCAACCTCAGCCGCTACGTTCCGGCCTACATCCTCTAGGGTTGCCTTCGTTGCCGCGGGGCAGTATCAGCTACGAACGTGTGCAATCTGCAAACAGACTGTATCGGTTTTGCTGGCGGCTTTTGAATTGGTGCCTTAAAGCTGGCGTGTACTTCACGATTGAGAACCCGGAGAACTCTTGGTTTTGGGCTGTGCTCGCTCACCTGGCCCGAGGCGATCCCCGCGCTCCTTTTCACCATGCCCAGCTGTACGAGGTCGTTTTCGATTCTTGCGAGCATGGCGGACGAAGACCCAAAACCACTAAGCTGCTCACCAATTGCCGGGCTCTGCTTGCCCTGGCTCGCCGTTGTTCCGGCTCCCATGAGCACGCCCCCTGGAAAGTGCGCTGGTCAACTTCCGGCTGGACGTTTGACACACACCTCGAGGCGCAGTACCCCCTCCTTCTGGTCGAGCGCTGGGCCGATCTTCTTTGCGCAGATCTTCAGACGCGAGGCCTGGTGTTTACAGCTGTCTTGCCCGCTCGTGCGCTCACTTTGGCGGCACAGGGCCGGCAGTCCCGGAAGGCAACCCCCTTGATCTCCGAGTACGACCGCGTAGTGGACCTGCCGTGCTCCAAAGTGCCCCTCGAGGGCGCAAAAGTTCTTTCGGCCCCGGAATCTGGTGGTGCAGCGGGGGGCCAAGAGGTCGTTTGCAAGGTTGGTGCTTGGTGAAGGAAGCAACGGCCCTTAAGCATCCGGTTGACACTGTGAACCCTGTTTGCAGACACACCTTGGAAGCCATCGACTTTGTTCTTGAGAATTCCACTTCACATGTGCTCTTGAAGAGAAAGACGGCGTTGCTCAAGGCGGAGATCTTGGGGAAGCAACTACAAAAACGCGAGGATGCCCTTCATGCGGAGATGCCCCAATGGATGCAGAAAGTGATCAAAGGGAAAAAGATATTGCTCTGGGAAGAATTGCTCAAGCAGTACCACTACGATGATTTGGGAGTGGTAAACCTACTTAAGCAAGGAGTCGACCTGTCAGGAGTTGGTGCCTGCCCAGATTGCTTTGAAGTCAATGTGAAGCCGCCCGTACTGTCGCGTGACCAGCTTCTCGAATACTCAAGAAGAGGATGAGGATGGATTCCTCGACGGGCCATTTTCGGAGAGAGAAGTCACTCAACTCCTGGGCAGCAAACAGTGGGTGGCGATTCGACGGTTTGGCCTGCAACAGTCGAGCAAAATCAGGCCGATTGACAATGCGAGTGATGCCCAGCTGAACGATTCTTTTGGACCTTCCATGCGGTTGGTTTTACAAGACTGTGACTACCTGGCGGCGATGGCCATACTGGTGGCGCGGAAGATGAAGGAGATGGGCTCTGCGGTCCCTTGGGTTGGAAAAACTCTGGATCTGTCTAAAGCCTATAAGCAGGTACCGATTTCCCAAAAAGACAGAAGGCTGGCCGTGGTGTTCTTGGATGATGCGTGCGGACAGAGAAAATTCTTTTTGAGCAACTCACTCTTGTTTGGAGCCAGCGCGTCCGTGCCAAGCTTTCTCAGAATCAGTCGCTCCTTACATTTCTTATTCAACAAGATGCTGCATGTGGCGTCGTCATGCTACTTTGACGATTTTCCCCTGTTGTCTACGGAATCCCTTGCTGAGAGTGCGGATTGGGCGTGTTCTCGCCTTTTGGACCTATTAGGCTGGAAGCACGCTCGGTCGGGAGAAGGCCATAAAGGCCTACCGTTCTCAGCCAAATTCGAAGTGTTGGGAACCGTGGCTGACGTATCTGAACTGCATCATGGTATCTTCAGGATGGCCAACAAATCGTCCCGAGTTGAAAAGGTCACTGAGAGACTTCGCGATGTGCATGAGAGTGGTGCGCTGCAAAGGCATGATGGGCAAATATTGCTTGGTCTTCTAAGATTTGCAGCTGGATTCTTCTCGGGGATGACGCTGAAACATGTTTGTGTCGATCTGAACCGCTTCGTATATGCCGGTGCTAAGCCAAGCGCCGATGTTCTCCGCAATCTTTGTGAGAGGGCCATTCAAGCAATTTCTGTCCTGCCTCCGCGAGAGATTCGCCTTGAACATGATCCTTCGGTAGTCCACATTTGGACTGATGGCTCCTGGGAGAACAAAATAGCAGGCATCGGTGCTGTGGTATTAGATGGCTCAAGAGGTTTTGGCGCGGTTTTTCAAGACGAAGTTCCAAAGGAGGTGTTGGAAGAGTGGAGCCGAACTGTCGGTGATGGCGATCATTTGATTTGCCAAATTGAGCTGTTCGTGGTATGGGCCATCAAGCTTTCTTTGGGAGACATGCTCAAAAACAGACGTGTGATCATGTGGATTGACAACGAATCTGCGCGACTTGGACTGGTGAAAGGGTACAGCTCTTCACCTTCTATGGATCGTCTTCTGAGAGATGTTTGCGCCTTGGAAGATTCATGCCCGTCTTTGAGTTGGTATGCACGAGTCCCATCGTGGTCCAATGTGGCCGATGCTCCTTCGAGGTTTGCTGGACAGACAGTCCTTCACATGGTTGGTGCAACTGAGCTTTCTTCTTTCGGCAAGCTGCCAGTCGAGAGATTTTTGCTACAGCACTGATGCTGGGGGAATCACGGGTGCTGATGCGCGTGGAAACTCACCACGTGCAAAAACCAGATGCAAAACGCGTCTGTGCATGCATCTTCGGCACACCCCTTTTTGATGTGAAAAAAGAAGGACTTGCGCCAAGAGCAATTGACATTTGAGAATACTAACATTGGGACGTGCATAATATTCGGACTGACATTGATTCTCACTATATATAATTCACGTTTGGTTTGGAATTTCTTTAATTTCTGTGGAAAGTATCAGGAAAATTCTCACAAGTCCTTTCTTGGCTCTAAGGACTTGAGATAAACCAGTTATTCGGGGCTTAGTTCTTGATGAATGACTGTGGCCTAGTTCGCCAGCAGCACTGGGGTTATGACTATCATTGGCCTTCGTAGTTTCAGGTGCACTGTCATCTTCAGAACTGGTGGCAATGCTATGAATTTCCGGTTGGGTAGGGCTATCAGGTTGTGTTGGGAGAGCAGAGCCCAAACATGGAACAGGACTCTGACGCTCCGTTGTTTGGTACTCATACCCCTTGATAGCCTCTGACTTCTGTATCAGCTCAGTGGAGCTAACGGTACTTGGCTTGTCATCATCTGGGCCTTTATGTCCATTCCCTCTAACTATGACAAGGTCGGGGCCGACCTTGCTAGTTTCAGATTCGGGCAAAAGATGTGCATGTGAGGGATCAGGAAGACCAAAGTCAGTCTCAATGTTGGGCGCTAAGTAGGTTTGGGTAGGGACAGGGCTGTCCCTACTTTTTGCCTCTTGACTTGTGTTTCCTGCCTTACCATTGACTTGTTCACTTGCGTGTTGCGGTATGGAAACCTCATTTGGATCAGCGTGATGTCGAACTATTTCCCCAAAGGAACCTAGGACCTAGGAGTGCGGTGGCCGGGAAGCTCTAAAGGTGTATTATTCGCCAAGTCAAGGTAGACTCGACCAAGGATATGGTCAAGCTTTGCCCTTGCAGCTTCTCCGACATTGTAGCCAATCGCAGCCAGCACAAGGGCAGCTTGTTTGGGAAAAGGAGCATAGTGCTGGCTGTTTTCTTTGCTCCATTGCGCACAAGCAATTATGGGGTATGCCGCAGCGACAGGGCAATATAATCCAGCAATACATCGTTGCACTTGTTCTCGAACGTTAGCTGGAACTTCACCCTGAAACCGTAAGGACGTATTTCGTCTTCGAACAGTCTCGAGTTGTCCTTTATCAGCCTCTTGCCCCTTTTCTTGGAACCTTCAGTACCTTTGGTTCAGGATTGTACTTCCTGCAGCTCCTTGTCCTGGGGCTCTCTACGTGTCGCCGGCGCAGCAGACCGTCGCTGATGGGGCAAAGTCGGACACTGGGCAGTGTCCGATTGCTCAATACTGACATCTTGTTGGCCTGATTCCCGGCTATGAATGAGAGGAGCGCTAGTATGACCAGCCTTAGGGTCAGTTTTAGGGTTACTTTTAGCACAGAGGTCGAATGCATAAATGTCGCTCGGTTTGGCTCCAATTAATTTCAAGATGTCACATGAGTGACATCGTGGAAGAAAAAGAAGTGCTCCTTGATGCAGCGACAGTACAACGTTTTTGTTCACTGAAGTCCCGGGATGACAGACAAGGAGGTGCCCATTCCTGAGGATCAAGGGGATCTCAAGTTCAGTTTTACCAACAATTCGAACAAGCAGATATTGGACAATCCCTTGTTCAGCCTTAAAATCTTCGTCATTCTGGCGGACCTTAGGTAAATGATCAGGTGTCACCCAATCTTGGAAGATAGAGTTCCGCCGAAGAAAAGCCTGAAGGCTTTGTAACTTCTGAAGCTCTGGTACATCTTCACACTTGCCAGTCATGACAACATAGGGCGCTTGTTTGTTGAGGATTAAGAAATGTGTTTCAAGGTCGTCTTTATGCCACAGGATGCTGGCAATTCTCTGTTTGGCGACAGGTTGATATTCATCCCTTGCTCTGACATGAATCAACCTTCCTGCCCAACTTTATCACTCCCAGAGTGGCAATTCAGGAAATGTTCCCTGGGGTTTTCAGAGATATGATTGATAGGTTTGCTGACCCATTTTGGAGCATCAACAACCTCTTGTAGCCGTTGAACAGTCGCTCTGCCATACGGGATCAAGGTATGGATTGTGTACAAGCATTTCTGCAATGGAGACATGCGCAACCACGTGCGCGGCGGGTACAATGACATCATCTCCAATTTGAACATGTGCAATACCTTGGTATTGGATAGGAAGTGCAACCTGCTTGAGACACTCCTGGATCTTCTGCGGGTTCCACGTACTATCCTGGAAAGTAATCTGCAGAAAGACATCCGAAGTGTTCCTAGGGGCAGTTACCTTCCAGGCAAAGATCTCCTGTGAAGATTTAACTCCATAGATGTGGAACCTTGCCGCCTGAAGTGCGAGCTCATCTGAGATGGCTAACTGTTTCTGGCGGAGCTCCAGGATCACTTTCTGAAACTGATATTTTCCAGGGGCAGAATGAAAGGCATGCATGAGCCTATGCTGATTAAGGATACATTGCATCCTAAAAACTTCATCCTTTGCTGCTTAGAGCTGATGGAATATGGAAGATCAACAAAGTTAACGCTATTGCCAGGCAATCCCGGGAGCAAAACGATACCAGACTTGAAGTTCAATCTGTGACTTATCCTCCGTCCGGTTTAGCACCTGGTCATGAAGTTCTTCAATCTTGAACATAGTGCTTGGAGCTGCAAGATACTGATTCCTCTGGCTCTAAGACAGATAGAACATCTATTGTCTTTGTCGGTCGGCTCGACGCCGGGATGCTGTGCCTTCCTGACGTAGGCCAACCCAAAGGTTTTGACAAGGAGATCAACTTATGCCAACAGTGGTGGGCGTGATAGCTGTTTTGTAGCCAAGGGGGAACGCTGCAGGACGCACGCCGACGTGGCGTTCCGACGTGGCGTTCCTTCCCGAATGCTCCGCAGAAGGGTTCCCGTTTTTCCCGAATGCTCCGCGTTCGCGAGTGGCGTAACGCGCGCTGTTAAGGGGGAACACGTGGTGTTCCGAAGTCAGCAAAGGGGGGGAACTCACAGAACGTGGCGTTCCAGCGTTCCGAATCCGTCAAGCTCAGGGGGAACTCCACAGGACGCGCGGCGTTCCGCGGTGTTCCGAATGGCGTTCCGTGGCGTTCCGCATCCGTCAAGCGAAGAGCGAACTCCACAGGACGCGCGGCGTGGCACACCTATGCTCAGAGGCAGGGAGTGATAAGGTGATCAGAGACCATTTGCTAAGGGGTTTTATCCACTCTCAGCCTTGCTGTTTGGGGCTTTGGGTTTATCCTGATCCTTTTCTTGAACATTTTTCTGAAGTTGTGTTTAACCGAACTCTTTAGGTTAACTTCAACCCAAATAGTTCAGATTAACTCGAACTCCAACTTGGGTTGGAGTTAGGTTAACTCCAACTCGAACCTGGATAAAGGTCAGGTTATCGGGTTAACGAACCCAACCCCAAGGATGGTTTTCTTCGTGGTAGTCAGAAGTACAAATAGTTCTAGTAGCAGCAGTACTAGTGGTATTAGTTGTCGTTTCTTGAGAAAATGATTCTAAATTCCACCCGCTTTGTTTTCTTGCAAGGAGAATTACTCAAATTCCTCCTCCTGGCTTCTCGTCCTGCGAAGTCGGAGGAGAGGCGAAGAGAATAGTTCTAAATTCCACCCCACCTTGTTTCTCGTCCTGCGAAGTCCGTAGGAGAAGAGAGGCGAAGAGAATAGTTCCAAATTCCACCTCACCTTGTTTCTCGTCCTGCGAAGCCTGTAGAAGAAGAGAGGAGAAGAGAATTGTTCTAAATTCCACCCCCCTTGTTTCTTGTCGTCCTTCGAAGTTTGTAGAAGAAGAGAGGAAGAGAAGGCGAAGAGAATAGTTCGATTCTAAATTCCACCCCACCTTGTTTCTCGTCCTGCGAAGTCCGTAGGAGAAGAGAGGCGAAGAGAATAGTTCTAAATTCCACCCCACCTTGTTTCTCTCTCGTCCTGCGAGGCCTGTAGAAGAAGAGAGGAGAAGAGAATTATTCTAAATTCCACCCCCCCTTGTTTCTTGTCGTCCTGTGGAGTTTTTTTTGGGTCGCGCGACTTAAGTTAGCGGGGGGTTGGGGTAGAAGAACAGAGAGAATAGTTCTAAATTCCACCCCACCTTGTTTCTCGTCCTGCGAAGCCTGAAGAAGAGGAGAAGAGATAAATTCCACCCCTCCTTCCTTGTCTCTTGTCGTCCTGCAAAGCCTGTAGACGAAGAGAGGAGAAGAGAATTATTCTAAACGGGTGGAGTTGTTTTTGGGTCGCACAATTTTGAAGCAAGCTTGCACAACTTAAATTAGGGGGGCAAATACATGCTCGCATCATTGGTTTTATGGACGCTGAAATTTTGATGCTTCTTATATCAGGGGAGCTTAGGGGAGGGGTTAGGGTTGAGTTAACTCGAGCCCCAACCCCAGGTCCGGGTTGGGTCAGGGTTAGCTTGAACCTTACCCCCCAGGAAGGGAGGGTTGGGGTTTACCCGAACCCTAACCCCGCATCCGGGTTGTGGTTAGGGTAATCGCAGGTCTGGGAAGGGGTTAAGGTTGGGGTTAACCCCAACCCTAACCCTGGCTCCTTATGAGGGAGCTTAGGCAAGGGTTAGGGTTGGGGTTAACCGAACCTTAACCTGGGGTCTTGGGTTATAAACTTGAACCCGAACCCCGCATCCAGGTTGGGTCAGGGTAGCTCGACCCTAACCCCTGGCTTCTTAAGAGGGAGCTTAGGGGAGGGGGCGGTTAGAGTTGGGGTTAACCCGAACCCAACCCCAGGTCTGGGTTGAGGTCAGGGTTAGTCCGAACCCTAACCGGAGAGGGGGGGCCAACCCTAACCCTGGTTGGGGTTCAGATTATCTTGACCTGACACCTGAGGTTCGGCTATCTGTTATCCTGAACCCTAACTCAGATTAGGGTTTGGGTCGAACTCGGACTCCAACCTGGGTTGGGGTTCGGGTTAACCCAAACCTTAACCCAGGTTAGGGTTAGCTCCCCCCCCCGCCGCCGGGGTCGGACCCGGGGTTGTAACAAAGTTCAACCCGAACCCTCAACCCAAGCCCGCGGGGTATGCTCGCGAAGTTGCCATGTCCCATAACTGCCCCACGCCCAGTTTCTTGAGCGCGTCGAATCCTAGCAGGCAACGGCATCTGGGCACTTCACCGCAGTTTCAAGCATCGCCACGCCTTCCAGATTCAAGTTCTGGGTCTGCAATGCCTGGGCGGCTTCCCACTCCACAGATCTGTCGGAAAGCCCTGCTTCAGCAGACTCTCTACTTGCCACTTCCAATCTTTCCACCAACAACAACCCTGCAGTTTGGAACAAGCTTACCAACGTCTCTCTCGTTGGAGTCTTCGTCAGTCCATCTGCTCCATGCGTGACCCCAGCAATCAGAAGACTACCGTGAGGCCTTTCTGAACACAGTACTGTAAGAAGTTGGGCTGTGCCAACCTTCATGCAGTGCTGATTCGCCTTTGCTCAAAATCACCACCAATGTAGTTACTTCATCCTTAGCCAGCTGAACGGCGTCAGAGTCTGCCAAGAAAGTTCCTACCCGCAGTTTCTCAAGGGCTTGCATTTCTGTTCGGAGGCCCACTTCAAGCTGGTTCCGATCCAGTTGCGCACCAGTCATGTCATCCACGCACACAGGAACAAGCGCTGTAATCTGACCGAATGGCAAGCCCAAGGAGGGCTGTTGATGCAGAGCTCCGCCCTTTCTCCGTGGTGTTTGAGTGCGTTCTTGTCAGCCGCTTCCTGTGGCCTTGGAGGCTCAGCAGCAGGAAAGCAAGAGGGATGGGCCACTGCCATAGCTCCAAACCACAGACAGTTTTTGCTGCGTGAAGAAGACATGAGGGATGTCTGCGGCGACTGTCTGCGTGACCGCTCTCTTGCAAGAATGTGTGTTTCAACGAACATCCATGCGTGGCAAAAAAGGGTTGAGAGCTTAGGTTTTTTTGGTGTTCAGGGTTTAGCGGTTTTTAGGTTTTAGGGTTTTGGGGTAATTGGGTTTCTTTTGGGTTTAGTGCTTTCTAGCACTTAGGCTTTGAGTTTTGAGGGTTTCGGACTACGGGGTTCTTAGGGTTTAGGCTTTGGGTTTGAGGCTCACAGGATTTTAGGGTTGCGGGTGTAGGAGGTTTTAGGGTTCAGGGTTTAGGTTTAGGGTTCAGGCGTTCTAAGAGGTTAGGGTTTAAGTTTTTGTGGGTCAAGGTTTTTTGGGCTTAGAGTTTAGGCGTTTTAGGGTTTAGGGTTTTTAGGGTTTAGGGTTCAGGGGGTTTATGGCTTAGGTTTATGGTTGACTAGGTCAGGGGCTTTGGGGTTTTCGGGATTCGGGATTTTAGGGTTGAGGGTTTAGGGGTTTTTAGGGTTTAGGGTTTAGGGCTGAGGGGGTTTTAGGTTTAGGGTTCAGGCGTTTTAAGAGGTTAGGGTTTAGGGTTTTTGTGGATCAAGGGTTTGAGGTTCGGGGTTTTCTAGGTTTTTGGGCTTAGAGTTTAGGCGTTTTTAGGGTTTAGGGTTTTTGGGTCTAGGGCTCAGGGTTATAAGGGTTTAGGGCTTAGGGTTTTTTGGGTTTAGGGTTGATTAGGGTCAAGGGCTTAGGGGGTTTCAGGGTTTAGGGTTCTCGGGGTTTGAAGTTGAGGGTTTCTAGGGTTTAGGGTTGTTAATGTTTAGGGCTCACGGTCTTCTAGGGTCTAGGGCTTTTTTCAGGGAGGGTTTAGGGTTTAGGTTGGCAACCTCAACTGTCGTTGCTCGCAAGTAGCCTTCCTGTCCATCTACACTGGCGAGGTGTGTTGTTTCTTCCTTCAGCCAGGTGTTCAAGGATATCAGTGGCTATACGCTCATCCAAAAAGCATACTACCCACTCCAGGAGGATGGCTCCCTCATTGGGGACGGCATCGAATACTGCCTGTAGAAGCTTCAGCAACATTGCAGTACCTCCCCTGTTGTGCACTTTTTGATTGGCCGGTGGGCAGTTCCTTCACGGGCAGAGTTGATGGCAACCCACCCTGAAGTAGGCTGTGACTATCCCGTCGGTTGCTCACTGTCATCAGCTGTAGCACTAGCAAGCAAGCCCTTGGAGTGTTGGACTTAGCCAGCCCCATCCTTCCAGTGGCGCAATTGCATACTCTTTGCACCTGTCCTGCTGGCCAATGGGTTCTTCAAATTAGAGAGACCCACAATGTGAGGACGCCCGGACTCACGCAGCGTAAGCGCTTGCACTCACTAGTTAAAGGTTTCGGAGGTGACTTAGAGACTGCAGGAGGCTCGAAATAGAGCTCGAAGATCGGCTTTGTGGAACTGTGAAGGACCCTCTGTCCCACATCAGCTGCAGGACCAGCCAAGCAAGCCTTTGTAGCGTCGACTTAGTCAGCCCCACCCTTTCGACGGAGCAGCAGGATAATTTCTGCACGCTTCATACTTGTTACGGGGCCCTTTCGAGGTTTAGGGCTTTTTTGGGTTTGTAGGGTTCAGGGCGTATGGGTTTTCAGGGTTTCGGGTTTTGGTGTCTAGAGCTTACAGGGTTTAGGGCTTTTTGGGTCTAGGGCTCATGGGTTTTAGGGTTTGGGGTTTTGGAACTTTTCTTTAGGGTTTCAAGATTTTTAGGGTTTTGGGTTTAGGATTTTTTAGTTTATATAGGGTTTAGGGGATTTTCGGGTTCTGTGCTCAGGGGATGAAAAGGGTTTCGGGATTTTTGGGGTTTAGGGTTTCGGGTTTTTGTGGTTTCGGGTTTTTGTTAGGGGTTAAGGCTCACGGGATTTTAGGGTTGAGGGTTTAGGGGTTTTTAGGGTTTGGGGTTTAGGGCTGAGGGTGTTTTAGGTTTAGGGTTCAGGCGTTTTAAGAGGTTAGGGTTTAGGGTTTTTGTGGATCAAGGGTTTGAGGTTCGGGGTTTTCTAGGCTTTTGGGCTTAGAGTTTAGGCGGTTTTAGGGTTATAGGGTTTTTGGGTCTAGGGCTCAGGGTTATAAGGGTTTAGGGCTTAGGGTTTTTTGGGTTTAGGGTTGATTAGGGTCCAGGCCTGAGGGGGTTTCAGGGTTTAGGGTGTTTGGGGCTTGAAGTTGAGGGTTTCTAGGGTTTAGGGTTGTTTATGTTTAGGGCTCACGGTTTTTTGGAGTCTAGGGCTTTTATTTTCGGGGTTTTTAGGGTTTAGGGTTTTTAGGGTTTAGGGCGTAGGGGTTTTTAGGTTAGGGTTTAGGGTTTAGGGCGTATGGCTTTAGGATTTCGGGTTTTGGTGTCTAGAGCTTACAGGGTTTCGGGTTTTCTTGGATTATTTAGGGCTCATGGGTTTTTAGGGTTTAGGGTTTTGGGGATGTTCTTTACAGTTTCGATTTAGGGTTTAGATTTTTTGAGTTTTTATAGGGTTTAGGGGTTTTTCGGGTTTAGGGTGTAGGTGTTTTACATGTGTGAAGCAAGCTTGGGAGGCTGGTGCACTGTTGTCATAGGGCTAGGTGCTGTGGCTGCGCGGCGCTGCTTTCGCTCTCCTTGCGTGACATGTTTTGTTTTCCTGGTTTGTTCGTGCCAAAATTTTATGTATTCCGTGTCCATTTTCGGGAACAGGTGGCTGTGCGACGAAGTTGGAAAGGAGCTATTCTCTCCCCCAAAGGGGGAGATCTTTTTCTCGGTGTTGTAGTGCTCCCCCAGCGGGATCGGGTTGTTCTCTGTTTTTCGCCATGGATTTCGACATGCCCTTGTGTGAGGACATCACCGCTAACGGCTATATAACGAAACCCTTCAGGACTGGGTGGCGCTGCTGAGCCACGATGCTGCCCATGATCAGGGAGGCCGGGGTACACCGCTCCCTTGTTCTTGCCCACGCCCAGGGGTTCGTCCCGGACCATCGACGTGACCTCATCCGGATTGCTGAAGGCAAGATGTTGGGGAAGTCCAGCCCTGCAAAACAAACACCGACGCGCGTCATGCCTGCCTCTGCAGACTCCAGATTGATGGATGTGACTTCTGCTTGCCACGAAGATGTGGTCATGGCGCCTTTTCGTGGTGACTGCTGCGACCTCCCAGGACGGCCTCTGTGTGTGTGTGTGTGGGCCCCGGTCTTGGAAGTCTCGGCGAAGTTCATGGCGCGGCTCTTGTTGGCAGATGGTAGAAGGGGCTTGGCAGGATGCTTCAGATTGCATCTGTGAAAATTTCAAGTTCTGCCATGACATCGACCCGAAGAACTGGAGCAAGGCCTTCCCGTTGTCTAGATGATGCCGAGCTCTTCCAGCAGATGAAGAAAATGGTGGAAGAGGGCGCCCCTGTTGCGTCGGGCCTGGATGTTCCTCGCTTTGCTCCAGAAATCTCGGACGGGATAATAAAGATGCGGTTCTCTTGTCTCCGGACCTGGGGAATATGATAGCGATGTTGGAGGATGCAAAAACCACTTCCCCTCCGCCTTGTAGTTCAACCGTTCCCACGTTTCAGCATCGCTTTCCTTTCCTGATCGCCTCGTTTCAGCTTCGGCCCAATTTTTTCTGATGACTCGTGTGCGCTCAGAACAATCACTGTTGAACATTTTCTGCAGGAAACAGGGGCGTTCATCCCTGTAAGCCGTCTGAACTCGAGCTCCTTGCATGAACCCTTGACTCTTTGATCCCAAGTGTCTCCATCATCCAGATTTCGCAGCGAGGGCGTCGCAAGGCCCACACACCGAAGCGCTCCGCCACAAGGCTCGTCGTTGCTCTCCGCAAAGACCGCAGCGATGGAGCTGCGCCTTCTTCCCACGCGCCGTGCAGAACGCAACCCCTTTGGCCCTGTAGTCCTGTGAACTGCAAGTGGCCCTTGGAGGGCACACTGGGTGGGGACCGTGTAGTTCAGTACCCAAGAAGGGATTCAGTAGAAAGCAAGCGCATCTACGATCCCGTTTTCATTGTAGGACAGCGAGGGTACGAGCGTTTTCAAACTGAGATTTTCTTGGACATTTGCCTTTGGTCACCTGTGCAAGCTTTGATGTGCAATGCAGTTTTGTGGGGTCACGTTTTGCTTGACTTGCGTTTTTCCTGCATGTGCAGAAATTTTCTTGAACGGGTTGCCATCCCGGCTCTTGCAACGCAGTGCTCAATTGTGAGCGCTAGAGAGTGAAAATTTTGTGTTGAGCCTCCGCTACTCCTGTAGGGGTGCCGTGCTAGAGGTTCGAGGTGCTAGTGGTCTCCCCTTAGGGGTCGTGCAAGCCGGGGGCCTGAGTGCTCTCGGTGGATGGACAGCACATCCAGTTCAGAGGAGAGCTCCCTCAGCTGGGAGTGGCCTCCAGTGCCTGCCTTTCAGGCGCCTGCCTTTCAGGCGATCAGCATCAGGCCTCGCTCTTTCCACCTTGCTTCACTTGAGCGCAGCCTGGAGGCCCCCCCCAGTCTCTTCACGTACATTTTCGAGAGTTCTCTCTGCGGAGTGCTTGTCAGTTCCCGTGAGGCCCGCGTGCTCCTCTTGCTCCATCCTTCCAGTTGGTTTGCACTTGCTTGCTCCGGCCGACGGCCACACGCGTGCGCCCGACAGCTTCTCCAGCTGTCTGCATAAGTGCCCTTTGCCCGCATGGCTCAGCCCCCTCGTGCCCCAGAGGGTTTGCTAGCTGGGGGTTTGGATCCTGGGTCCCTTCGTGTGCCTGAGGACAGCGACCGGAGGAGACCGGCAGAGGTGCCTGTTCAGGATTATGAGGCTCATTTGGCTGCCTGCACTTGCAAGGTTAATAGGACGGGCTATTCTCGGTCTTGGGATTTTCGGTTGAGGCCTTCTTCAGTGCTCTTTACCGGTGTGGTTAAGTCACGTGGCATGATCCCACCAGTGCCATCTCTTGTGCCTGTGATCACTCCAGTGACGCCAACCGTGGCCGCAACGAAGATTGCGATTTCCAGGGTCCGTTTGGATGATTCTTGGGGTGCTCACCTTGAGAGGAGGCTTAGTGCTGCCATACAAAAGTGGGTTGCCTTAGTGGTTGAGGATCCTTTCTCTTTTGACGTCGGTAGGCGGTGTGCTGCTTTCGTGGGAAATGACGAGGCGATTTCTCAGGGCCTTCTGCACACTTTTTCGGGCAAATCGGCAGGTACCTTGCACAGCCGGGCTGGGCCTCTCATCAGGTTTGTTGCCTGGGCCAAGGCTCGCCAGTGCAAGCCCCTACCCTTCAGCGAGGCGCTTTTGTATGATTTTCTGCTTGAATCCGAGAGCACTTGTGCGCCGTCATTCGGAAAGGCATTGATGTCTGCACTTGCATTTTGCAAATTTGTGCTAGGCGTTGAGAATGCTTCTGATGTTCTGAGCAGTGGTCGGTTTGGGGGCTTGGCTCGTTCGATGTTCCTGAACAAAAGGAAGCGACGACAGAAGCCACCCCTCACTGTCGATATGGTGAAGGCCCTTGAGAGATTGGTGATCTCCGAACGTGAAGGAGATATCGACAGGCTGTGTGCAGGGTTCTTCCTCGTTTGTGTTTTCCTCCGAGCAAGGTATAGCGATGCTCAAGGTCTGAAGAATCTTGCAATCGACGAGCCTGAAGGTTTTGCTGGCCGCTTGACAGGATATTTTCAAGGGGAAGCTTCAAGGACAAAGACGAGTTTCTCGCTGGAAAGGAAGACGGCTCTGCTCCCGATGGTTGGGCCACTTTTCGGCTTGACTGCGGTTCCTTGGTTTAAGACATGGTTAGGTCTCCGCGAGGACATGGGCATCCCTGAAGGCGAGGACTTTCCTCTGCTGCCGAGTCGTGGGCTAGAAGGGGGTTGGGCTCCGATCCCACCTTCGGCTACGGTGGCCGCTGCATGGCTCCGGGGAATCCTTATCTCTCGAGGCTTCCCTGCGGCACGCAAGCTCGGAACTCACAGTTGCAAATGCACGTGTCTTTCTTGGCTGTCGAAGCACGGAGTTGATCCTCTGCACCGGCGTGTTTTGGGGTATCACAAGGCCCCGCAGGATGAGATGATGCACGTGACAATGTTTCTCCAGCCCTGAGGTCGCTGGAGGCTGTCATCCAGGACATCAGGCAAGGCCTGTTTTTGCCGGACGTCACTCGGTCGGGTTACTTCCCGAACCAGCCGCAGAGGGAGCCTGGGCCTGAGTTTGTTGAGGAGCCATCAGAGTCCGAAGTTTCGCTCGATGAAGAGGACAATGTGCAGGACTTGAGAGCGGAGGAAGCGGCCGCTGATCAGGTTGTGCCGCCTTGGGCTGAACTTGTGGTTCAGGATCCTGATGCTCTGGTTTATGTCCGTCACATAACTTCAAGGAAGTTGCACCGCCTCGCTGACGAGAGTGGGAATCGGCTGAAGTGCGGAAAGGCGTGCGCGCGAAAGTTCGAGAGGCTCAGTGAGAAGCCAAGGTTTATGGCTGACATGTGCTTGAATTGTTTCAAGTGAGCCCGGCTCAACTGAGGGGCAGCCGGATCACTCGGCAAATGGGTCGTGTCTTTGTGACGCAGCCGGATAGACTCGGCTATGCATTCACCGGTCCTCGCGGGGAAGTTTGATTATGTGAGCAGTTGCACCGGTGCTCGCGGTGCTTTGGTGTGCCGGTCCACTCGGATGAGCTGAAAGAGCTCAAGTTAACCGGGGCACGCGGTTTTGGAAGGAAGTCAACCATGACTTGAAAATGTGGCTGTACGGTGCTGTGATTCCGTAGATGTTGCGATTTGCATACGACAACGCCTTGTGGTGTGAGTGATAACTTGAGCATACAGTTTTGGCTGAAGGATCGTGTAGTGCACTTGCAGGACAATTCGCCATGGCCATCACCGAGAGCAAGGCAAACTTTTCTTCCAGGGCGACGGCCTTGGGGTTGGCCGCTGACGTTTTGAAGAAGTTCACTGATGCCGGTATTGACTGCGTGAGCAAATTTGCCTTCATTAGTGCGTTCGTGCCTGGCAACACCGATGAGTCCCCTTTTACCGATGCAGTTGCTGGGGTTTTGGGGCGCGCTGCTAATGTGGCAGAGTTGAGCGTGCTGCGCAGGCTTCTTCATGAAAGCTACAACCTCACTGTCTCAGAGCTTCAGGTGCAGGTTGAAAGAACGGAAGATTCTGCTCCGAGGCGGTTGGCGGCTCCCGATCGAGCCGATAGGCTTCAGCGGCAACAAGTCAGGCTTGCTGGCCTGAACATCCATGGCCCGACTCTCCCTGGTCATTCGGTCATCGATCGTTGCGTTCAGATGTATGAGGATAACTCTCTTTCATACCTACCTTTGCAGTCTTGTCCCTGCCGGGATGATGAAGTGAAGTTCAAGAAGGACCGAGATGACAAGATGCTTGCTGTGGATGGCACGGGGCACGTGTCTCTTAGGTCGCAGGCCGTGAAAGTGGAGGCCGATGTGTCCACTGACCTTTTGCTTAAGCATGCACTTACTCGTCGTGGGCTTGCGTTGGACCAAGCTGGCATTCTGAGCTTCGCGGAGCATGAGCGTTGGTCTGAGGCGTTGTTTCAGGCTCGATTTCGTGATCCACCAGACCAGTATGCCCGTGTCACGCTCCAGCAACTCATCCAGGCTGACAGGCAGGTTTTTGTTGAAGCAGCTGATCGGACCCGCCAGGGGATTCAGGTGGTGGCTTCCGGGCGACCGGTCGATCGCATTTGGAGTGACGCCATGTCTTGCAACAATGTCACTCACCTGCTGCAACCCTTGCCCTTGCCTCCGCCTGCTCCTTTGCATCCGCGGCCTGGGCCCTATGATGACCGCAGGGGTTTGAAGGGTCGCGGTAAGGGTAAAGGGAAAGGAAAGGGTAAGGGAAATGTGCGTATACCTGCTGAGCTGTCCGATGGGGTGCCAGTCACCGCCCGGGGCTTGCCCATCTGCTTCGACCACAACTTGGGGCGGTGCCAGCGTCCCGTCACTAGTGGGAAGTGCGACCGTGGCCTTCACATTTGTTGCGTCAAAGGCTGCTTCAAGCGGGATCATGTCTATACAAATTGCCCAAAGCATAAAAGGGAGTGACTAGGCTCTGAGGCGCAGGTTCACGTGACTGATGATAAAGATGTAGCACAGCTCGGTGAGGAGCTTGTGCTCTCTTCTTCCGATGATGAGATCCCTGAAGGGGAGTCATCACCGAAGCAGGTCCCGTGCTCGGCCTCAGTTCCGCCTCAACCGCTTTCCGACAACCCCGAAGCTTTTGCGTCTCAGCTGCTCAAGCAGACGTGGCTTGAGGCGAGCGATGTTTTGCAGCTTTTTGAGATGTTACCAATGGCCGCGCCCCAGCGTGGAACTGAGGGCAAGGCTTTTGCTACCGGAGCGTTTGCTCGGGTCAAGGTTGGGTTGCGTACTAATGTTGCTGTTTTCCCTCAGGCGTCCCGCGTCTTTGCATCGTTCGTGCGCCAATCTGCCCGCATAAGTTCACTTCAGTTGTGGTTTTTGAGGGGGTTCGCGCCAAACCCCACCGTGATCAGCAGAACTCTTGTGTACCCAATTTGGTGGTTCCTTTGTCAAGTTTTGAGAGGGGTGAAATTTGGGTGGCTAGTGACTCTGGAACTGTCTCTCGACAGGTCAATGGCAAGCAGCAGAAGGGAGTTCTCTTGCCCGTGGGAACCGAACCCGTGCTGTTTGATGCACGCCGTGCTCTGCATCTCACTGAACCTTGGCAAGGCCGCCGTGTGGTCTTAGTGGCCTTTTCTATCGGTGCATTTTCGAAGCTGTCCAACGAGGCTTCTGACCGCTTGTCTGCACTGCAGTTTAACTTGCCAAGCCAGCCCGATGCTGATGCTTTTCAAGAGCGCCCGCAATTGCCGGTGCGTCTTCCCTGGCCGCCTCGGTTGCCCATCCTTGCATCTGTGCCTTCGGTTCCCGACATTCCTAAGCCGGCTGCTGGTGAGCCCTTGTTCTTGGAGCTATGTGCTGGTACTGCCATGTTGTCGCGTTGCTTTCATGAGGTCGGCGTCCCGGTCATGCCCATTGACCATCAGCGCAATCGGCATCTTCCGTTGGCTAAGGTGTGTAACCTCAGCCTCACTGAGGACTCGACCTGGGACTTCCTGAGACACTTGATTGATACTTGTGACATCCTGTTTGTGCATGCCGCTCCACCGTGTGGCACATGCTCTATGGCCAGGCATATCCGGCGCAAGGGTGTGTCTGCTGGTCCCCTTCGCTCAAAGCAGTTCCCTATGGGCTTGCCGTCCCTGACTGGAGTCGACCGGGCAAAGGTCGAGGCAGCAAACCAGATTTATACTAAGCTGGGTCTTTTCTTGCAGGACTTGGGCCGTGGTCTGTTGAGAATCCTGAGTCGAGTATGCTGTGGCAGCTGCCCTGTTTTCAGCCCTTGGTGAAGGATCACCATGTTTTCTCCTTCGACATGTGTTGTTATGGGGGGTCCCGGCTGACCCACAGGTCTTTGCTCACTTCGTGCTTTGGGCTGCGCCATTTTCGCCAACGATGTTCTGGGGGTCATGAACATTTGCCGTGGACCCCCAAGGTTGCCTCAGGTGGAAAGGTGCATTTCCCTACGGCAGACGAAGCGGCATACCCGCGTCCGTTCTGCGTGCAATTTGTGGCGCTGGTTTTCCGCCACCTTGGGCGGTCCCTGCCAGCCACGCCTGCCCCTCAGGTGTCAGCTCAGGCGTCTGCTTCTTCAGCTCGCCAGCCCCGTGGGCGTCGCATCCCTCCTGTCATGCCTGAGTTTAAGCGTGTGCTCGTGTATCAGGTTGCTGCGTTGCCCCAGGTGGATCACAAGCGTCGCTTGCTGCAACCTTTGCGGGATGCCCCGGCGGGCTCCAAGCTTATCTCCTCGACGTCTTTGCTTTCTGAGGTGGGGTTGAAAAGCGCCTCGGAGACACCGGTTCAGGCAGATGCACTAGTCGTAGATTCGAGCTCGTCTGAGTCAGATGACACTGCGTCTCCTGTGGGCCCGGATGACCAGGCCAGTGTGTGCTTTGAAGTGTCGCTGGGTGTGTATGCTTCCCCCGAAGAACTTGTGGAAGAATGCCTGAACGTAGGGCACCCCTTTGATCAGCTGCATGCTGCGCCTGATGTGCTCAAACAGTGCCTTTTTGACATGCTGACCAAGGGGCCTGCTTGGGTAGTGGATCGTAGGGCAAAGCTGCTCAAGAAGTGGACCCAGTGGGCTCGCGACCTTGAGGCCGAGGAAGCAGGCCTTCGCAAGTCGTTAGACCCTGAGGTTGCAAAGGTGTTGCAAGGGAAAAGGCTCCTGCTTCTTGAGAAGATTGCGTCGTCAATCGGCTGGGTTGACATGGGCGTTTTTGCTGAGCTTAGGAAGGGCTTTGATTTGGTGGGGCATGCAAAGCACACGGGAGTTTTCGCGCTTGAGCCCAGGCCTTCGAAGCTTCCTAAGGATGACTTTCTTGCTGCCACAAAATTTCTTAAGCCCGCCCTGCTGGGTAAGGTAAAATCGTCGTCCGTGGATCGCAACGCGCGTGAGCTGTGGGAAAAGACGATGCAGGAGGTGGAGAGTGGTATGTTGGAGGGACCTCTGTCGTCGCAGCAGCTGGATGATAGGCATCCCTCTGGCTGGTTGCCCACTCGGCGTTTCGGGGTGGAACAGACTTCTGCTGCTGGACGCAAGCTGCGGCCTGTTGATGATTTCACCGAGAACAAGGTGAATCTTGCCTTTGGGTCTATGGACAAGCTGGACTTGAATGCGCTTGATCAACTTATCTGCACCTGCCGCATTTGGGCAAGGGCCATGTGTGGGGGGCATGATTGTCAGCTCGCGCTTTCCTCGGGGCTTGTGCTCAAAGGCCGTGTGCATCCTGGTTGGAAGAAGGCGGGGCATCAGCCGCTTTTAACCACACTTGATCTTCGAGCTGCTTACAAACAGTTCGCCGTGTCGGCCGACTCGCGAGCTTGGGCAGTTATCGCTTTGCTTAACCCTGATACGCTGGTGCCGGGCCTTTTCGAGTCGAAGGCGTTGCCTTTTGGCAGCGCGGCCTCGGTGCTGCATTTCAACCGTCTCTCGAGATTGTTGTGGAGGTTGGGGGTTGAGCTTTTGATCCCATGGGGAAACTTTTTCGACGACTTCCCTGCAATGTCACCGAGTGCCATCTCAGACAATACCATGAGTACAATGACTGCCTTGTGTTCCCTTCTCGGGTTCGCCTTCGCTGACGACAAGCTTAGCCCCTTTCAGCCTGCTGCCACCATGTTGGGGTTGAAGTCGATTGTTCTAGGTGTGATGAGGGTTTGGTGCTCGTAAGGAACAAGCCTGGTCGTGCTGAGGAACTCGTGGTGTCTCTTGAAGAGTTTCTGCGCGAGGGAGCGATCTCTCGAAAGCGTTACCTCAGTCTCATGGGTCGGCTCCACTACACTGACTCATACATACTTGGTAAGTCGGGCCGTTTGATCATGGCGGACATTCGCTCGTGGGCAAAGGGGCATTGTTCTGACGAGTTGGTCTTGGACGATGCAGCAAGGGATTCGCTGCGTCTGTTCATTGCGCGTCTCCGTGCTTGTGAGCCTCGCCAGGTGCCTTGTGGAGTGGCAAGCCACGTTGTGCACGTCTTCACGGATGGCGCCAGTGAGGGTGAGGTGCACTCGATTGGTGGGGTCCTTGTAGTGCAAGGAAGGTTGCATTCTTGCTTTGGGTCTTTTGTTCCCGATCACTTGATCAGCAAATGGACCTCCACGATGCGACACATTATCGGGCCAGTTGAATCATATGCAGTTGCGGTGGCAAGGAGAGTTTGGCACCAATTCATTGCTTCGCAGCGCGCTCTGTTTTTCATCGATAATGTGCAGGCACAAGACTCCTACATAAAGGGCACCTCTGCAAACCCTCACGTGCGGGAAATCCTCCTTTCTTTCGAGGAGTCGGAAAAACTTTCCCCTTCCTGGACGTGGTTCGCCCGAGTGGCGAGTCCAAGCAATGTCGCAGACGAGCCGTCACGTGCTGCCTTCGGGTTTTTGCATAAGGTTCATTGTCGCAGGGTCACTCCCTCGTGTCCCATTAGTGGTTTTGACCTTGTTGATCTTGGCGCCCTTGGAAAAATTTGAAAGTGGGGTGAAGGGGGCGGACGCCAGATCCGTTTCGCCCCATGCGACAAAAAGAGTGCATCCGAGCTTTTAGGCATGTGGGATCTGTTGCTTTGCGATTGCACCTTCATGTGAGTGCTGAGCTTTGCAATTCCCTTCAAGACATCTTAAGAGTTTTCTTGGGGTTTGAAAATCCTTTTATGAAAAGGGATTCAGTAGAAAGCAAGCGCATCTACGATCCCTTTTTCATTTTAGGACAGCGAGGGTACGAGCGTTTTCAAACTGAGATTTTCTTGGACATTTGCCTTTGGTCACCTGTGCAAGCTTTGATGTGCAATGCAGTTTTGTGGGGTCACGTTTTGCTTGACTTGCGTTTTTCCTGCGTGTGCAGAAATTTTCTTGAACGGGTTGCCATCCCGGCTCTTGCAACGCAGTGCTCAATTGTGAGCGCTAGAGAGTGAAAATTTTACCCAACCACCACTCCCTGCTCTGGCCCGGGTGCCATGAGCAGTTGTGTGCACTGCCGTGCTTTGACCTGCTTGACAGACTCTTCAGTGCCAGCCCTGCAGGGCTCGTTGGTTTCACACCATCCGTAGAAGCTGTGGCCACAGCTCCGTAGTGCAGTAGCCCGTAGCTGGCGTACGTGCTGCTCTCCCACCCGCCTCACCCACGCCCCCGAAGGGGGCGGACGCCAGATCCGTTTCGCCCCATGCGACAAAAAGAGTGCATCCGAGCTTTTAGGCATGTGGGATCTGTTGCTTTGCGATTGCACCTTCATGTGAGTGCTGAGCTTTGCAATTCCCTTCAAGACATCTTAAGAGTTTTCTTGGGGTTTGAAAATCCTTTTATGAAAAAGGTCTGGCCGCAGAGCATCGCCAGAACACAGCTTTCTCGCACTTACTAACTGTGACCCGGAAGGACGTAACGTCAAAACCCAGACCACATCTCGAAGCATACGTGGGGCCGGGGCCCAGTGCGGGCCATCCCGTCCGAGGATAGGGTAGGTTGCCGCCGCCGGCAGTCGGTCAGCGTTCGGGACAAGGCAGCGATGATCTGCAGCTACACACTCCTCGGGTATCTGAACTAGAGGTACACAGGCGCAAGGGCTCGCTTGACAATGTCGAGTAGCTCCATTGCAAGCTGGCATAAAGGATCTCTTGACACATCGGTTCCACTTGTGAGTAGGTCCCTGCTTCCCATCTCTGACCTGAACTCCGTTTAGCTTCGGCACCTGAAGTCGTCGCTGATAGGCAAGGGAGTTGCCTTCCCCAGCTCCAACGGAAAGAGCTGGAACCCTCACACTGTGGGACGCCTGACAATGTAGCAATATAAGTAGAGTCGTCAGTCGGCATCCCGCCCCGGACTTGGGACCGGGCCGGCTATCTGTAAGGAGGTGTGGCGCTATGCGCTCAATGGGGCGGCCTGACGGCGCGCGCCCAGGAGGAATGCGGGTGGCAGCCACGTCATGCTTGCGCCAGCTGCAGGAAAAGTTGCGCCAACTCCTGATCGCTGGTAGCCACGCACTTGCAATGGTGCCAGACTGCCGCGTTGGCAGGCCAGGGCCAAAGGCACACAGTCGACCCATGCGCCCTTTGTTGGGGCCAAGAGGCACCCAGCTGACGAGCGTGCTCTCAATGGGGCGGCCTGACGGCGCGCGCCCAGGAGGGATGCAGGCGGCGTCGACCTCTTGCTTGCGCCAACTGCAGGAAAAGTTGCGCCAACTACTAGCTGCTGGTAAACACGCACTTGCAACGGGGCTAGCTTCAGACTGACGCGTTGGCAAGCCAGGGGCAAAGGCTTTCAGTCGACCCATGCGCCCTTTGTTGGGGCCAAAAAGGCACCCAGCTTGTGAGCGTCAACAGTAGCGCTAGCGCGGCTCGCTGCACTATAGGACTGTGATCATCACGTTTCGGAGCCGGACTCCACCGCAAGGTTCGCTCCATGGCATAGATGCTACATCTCCACAACTA